TCAAGAATAACCAGGTAAGATGGTGGAGGCCTATAATTCCAGCACTTAGGAGACTAAGGCAGGAGAATCACTGTGAGTTCAAGACCAAATAGAACTACAATAAGTGAGACCCTGTCTCAAAACCAAACCAAACCAAACAAGCAAAAAATCCAAAAGTAGCCTAGACTCTTGGGAAGAGAGGAGCTATGATGAAGGTTTGCTGTGCTAGAGTGAAGCACATGATAAAGCTATTATGTTAACACAGGGTTGACAGCTCATAAAATAAATCAGCAAAACAAAATGGTAACATTCTTTGAACAAATTACTCTGTTAACAGGTATTTATAAAACTTGATTTTTATAGAACTTTATGAGGGTAGTTTTATTTCCATTTCACAGATAAGAAAACTAAGATACAGCATTTTCATAACTTGGGCAGAATTATAGACAAGTTATTTTGCCAGGTAACTAGCAAAGTTTATTTTTAGGAATTTTCTCTTAAATAATTGAGGGTGTGTAAAAATACTAAAATATGAGAATGTTAGAACATCATAGCATAAGACTAAAGATAGAAATGGCCTAAGTAATAAGCAAAAGGATATTGGTTAAATAAAATATGGTATTCTTTTACAATTTTATATGTGGCCATTTAAAATTATGTGGAAGGTGATTAAAAAAAAAACAGCTCTGTACTGGTACAAAAACAAGTGTGGATCAATTGAACAGAATTGAAAGATAACATCTTAAGCAAATGGTTCTGGGAAAACTGGTTATCTACATGCAAGATGAATCTAGATCCATATTTCTCATCGTGTACTAAAATAAAATCAACTGGATCAAAGCGCTATGCAGAGCCAGGAAGAGAAACAAGAAGCCAGTTCACCCTTTCTATGAGCCAGCAGTGGCCATGTGGGGCCAGGAAAAGCGACAAGAAGCCAATTTGCCCCTCCCATGAGCCAGTGGCAGCCATGTGGGGCCAGAAAAAGCAACAAGAAGCCAGTTTGCCCTTCACGTGAACCAGCGGGCACATAGGCTGGGAGCCTAAGGAGAGCCCCCGTGCCCTTGACCCTGTGAGCAACCGGCTGAGTTGATAGCAACTGAGGTACAAAAGCAGCTTAATTCTTGTATTGTCTGATTGACTTTGTGGTCCTAAAGCTGGTAATCTGAGCATTTAGTTAGAGGATAACAATACACAGTACAGCAATTATGGGGAATTTCCTACTGTTTTGTTTTTGAAATCCAATATTGTTCTCACTGTTTTGTTTTCTTTAATGCTCCATTTTGATTGGTTTTATTATGTTCTGTTTTGTTTCATTATATTATGGCTGATGGTATGGGCAGCAATTTTGAAGCTAACAAGAGGCATTATGGTAACCATTTTTGATTTTCTACTATCCTGTTTTGAAATCTTGTATCACTGTCTTGTTTTGATTGGCTTTGTTCTGTTTTATTTTGTTTGGTATTATTCTCTTTAAAATAAAATCTAAATAAATGAGTAAATAAATAAAGTTGATTTTTTTTTGTTGTTGTTTTTGACTCCGAAGACTGAGATACTAAAACAGAAACACTTAAATTTCCTGAATAAAATAGGTAAAACTCTAGAAGGAACAGGACTTTCTTAACTGAATCCTGGTTACATAAGAAATAATGTAAGGAGCAACAATTGGGTCTATATCAAATTTACAAGTTTCTGCACGGCAATAGAAATAACTAAAGGAAAGAAGAGACAACCTACAAAATAGGAGAAAAAATTCCAGCTACTCCTTGGACAAAGGATACATACTCAAAATATATAAAAAACTCAAAAATTAGACCTTCCCCAGGAATAAAAGGTATCATCCAAAAATACGGAATTGAAATGAAGAGACACTCCTCAGAAGACATTCAGATGGCCAGTAAATACTTGAAAAAGTGTTTAACATCTTTGGCCACGAGAAAGATAGAAATAGAAACAACACTGAGACTCCACCTTATTCCAGAAAAAAATTAGTTTTCAAGGACTCAGAAAGCCAACAAATGTTGGAGAAGTTGTGGGAAGAAAGTAATCCTACATTGTTAGTGGGTTAACAATAAACTACTACAACCACTATGGGAAATCAGTACAGAGATTCCCAAAAACACTAAAAAAAGGGATTCCATTTGAGCCAGCTGTACCACTTCTGAGTATCTTCCAAAGAGTTAAAGGTCATATTACTGTGATACAAGCGTACTGATGTTTATAGCAGCACAGTTCATGATAGCTAAATCTTGGGAGCAGCCTATATATCCTTTAACAGATAAGTGAATAAAGAAAATACGGTTTTTATACACAGTGGTATACTACTCACCCATAAGGAAGGATAAATTTGAGTCATTTGCAGGAAAATGAAAGTACTTAAGACCATTCAGCTAAGTGACATAAGTAAGACACAAAAGCTTAAATATCTCATGGTTTTCTCTTATATGAGAAACCTGAGGTAGAAATAATTTTAAAACTAAAAGACAGGTGACAGGAAACCATGAGATGGACTGTGTGGCAATGGGAAGGAGATCTGGGTCAATGAGAGGAGAGGGAAGTAAAAAAGATCAAGATGTGACATGTACCTGTGCCAGCTCCCCTGTGATTTCCCTTTTTTTGGTACCAGGGATTGAACTCACCACCTCGCACTTGCTAGGCAGGTGCTTAAGCCACTGAGCTAAATCCCCAGCCCAGTGTGCTTATTATGTATAATAACCATACTAATTAAAAGGGGAAAGTAAAATGAGATAACAAAAATTATGTGGATGTTTAGTGGCAGTAATGCAGATAATTATATTAAACAGAAAAGTAGATGACAGAACAGTATCCCAGTTTAAAAATATATATACTGAGAAAAAAGATGGGACTTATACCAAGTGTGATTTTCTTTGAAAAAGCCTGAAAATTATGAATGATTTGTATTTTTGCTTATCCACATTTTCTAATACTGTGATCCACTGTGAAATGCGTTTCTTCTCTAAAGCAAAATTATTTTAATAAAATTATTCTGCTTTTTTTTTAAACATGACACCCTTTTTTTTTTAAACTGCTGTCACCCTTGCACCGTTCACCATACTAGCTGTCCCCTCAGTGCCCATGTGCACTGTGTGTCGTCATAGTTGTCACGGAGCATTGCTGTCATTTGCTTTTGTGACTCCTGCTAGATTCTTTGCTTTTGGTGCCTAGAACGACATACGGCTTAGTAGATGTTTCAGGCAGGAAAGATGAAGCTGGGGGTGGTGAAGGGCAAAAGAAAAGAGGAGGGGGTTGCGGGAAGTCAGCTGCAGACCTTACTCTGGGGTTATGTTTTCCATATTAGTCCATTTTTATCCTGGCAAACAAAGGTGAATGGTAGGTGGTGTATTACATGTGTAAGTCTTACATTAATATAGAAAACGAGTTGATATCCTCACCCCAAATAAAAAACTTAGATCTCAGAACCACTTACATTTAAGTTCTGATTGTGGGGAACCAAAATTAAATATAATTTATTTTGCCAGTTTAATTTGCCAATCTCTCATCTCCAAAGTTCTAAACATTGGGATGCAAAAAGGAAGAGATGGGTTAAGAATTCCTCCTGCACTTAGAGAGGTCAGAGTGAATGTGTCCCAGATTATTGAAGCAGAAAATGCTGCTATGCCACCTCTCCTCTCTTCTCTCCTCTCCTCTCCTCTCCTCTCCTCTCCTCTCTTCTCTTTTCCTTCCTTCCCCTCCCCTCCTCGCCTTTCTCTCTCTCTCTCCTCCCTCTCCCTCCTCTCTTTCTCTCCCTCTTTCTTTCTCTTTGTCTCTTATCTCTGTCTCTGTCTTTCAATGTAACATTAAGGTGAAAAGAGAAAGTTAGAAATTTTGGATTTGCTATTTTGGCCCCTCTGAAGTTCTTTTATTGGTGATACATTGCCTTGAATTAACGCAGTGCTTTTTACTCTGTTCCTACATGTTGCTAGATTCTGAGACAGTACCCTAGGAAATCTCTGAAGCCACTTCATTTCTCTTTACATTTTCCCTTTGATCTGTTTCTTATATTTATCAGGGTAATGAACCAAGCAAGAACTACACTTGTTATATTCCTGCTTAATACCAGGTATTACCGTATTTCACTCCCTGGTAAACTAACATGCTGTTACACGATTTCTTACCCTGATTATATTATAGACTAATGAGAGAGACATTAAATGAATGTATAAATATTGATAGATGATGGTGAGTTTCATGGGGAAGATAAAAGAACATGAAGGATCTAATTTAGATTCTGGTAACAAGGTCGTTGCCGCCCGTGAGGCTGTCGGGAAACAGGGAGCTTGCGCCTGGGGGACACAGAGGCCTGAGGGTTAGTGAGCCCGTGTGCAGGTAGCTTGAGGTGGGGCTGGGAAACTAGGCTGTGGGCCTACGCGTGGCCTTGCAGGGATCTGGGGGAATTTTACCGACAGTTTTAGATTTAAAAAATAGCCATTAAATTGTATAAAGGAAAGGAATGGGCTGTTTCTTCTTTCTTTTTTGTTTAGCTGCTGCTCAGGTGTTTTGTGAGGGCTGCAGTGGAGTTACACGGATGCATCGAGGAGGGTTGGTAGTAGCAGCTTGGACTTGAGTAGTGGAAGCGGGAAGGGTTAAACTAGTGTTTGGAAGTGAATTCTGCTGCTGGGAGAAGTGTGGAAGGCTTAGGTTCACATAGGGTTGGGGAGGGGCTGCCCCGAGATCATAACCTCTGCAGCCTCATGGTGAGGCAGGCGCAAGGTCCGGAGGGGCTGTGACAGTGCGTGTCCGATGACCGGGGCGGTAGGGTGTGTTGGGCACACAGAGCTCAGTGCAGGGAGGTCTTGAATAATGGAGAGTGGGGACAGGACGGGGAAGCAGGCAGATGTGGGAGTTGTTACCTGATTGCCTTCTTGTCTTTTGGGTAAAAAATCCTAAGGGAGCTCGGGAACTGCCCGGTGATCCAATCGTGTACCTGCTTAAGCACTGGTTTGTCTGAGGAGAAAGCTAGAAAAAAGACCTAATGTAACTTTCTGTGTTGTATTTGTTTCCAGGAAGGCGAACAGTTTGTGAAGAAAATTGGGGGTATTTTTGCCTTTAAGGTGAAGGACGGCCCCGGAGGTAAGGAAGCGACCTGGGTCGTGGATGTGAAGAATGGCAAAGGATCAGTTCTTCCCAACTCAGGTTAGTACAATGGTGATTTCATTTATGGAGCAATGATAAGTTCATAGAGACTGTCGGCTGGGAAAATTGGGAGTCAGTTTTGGTGTTCCCCAAAAGGAACAGCTTTAGAGGTACTAGCTCTTGTTAAAGAACCAGTGACTCCTTGGGAACAGGAGAGGTCAGAGCCAACTCCTCACAAGGTCAGGAGGCTCATCATCAGTCTCAGCTTAGACAGACTCACGTGGGGTCCTTAGGATCTTATCTACTTCTTGTTTAAAGACACCCTCCCAATAACTCCTAGATTTGTGTGTTCATGAATACCTAAGTGAATATGCAGCTTCTTAATTTACAGGTTTACTGTTAAGATGACTATTTTAGGATGTTTGCTGCACTGTAACAGACTGACACCAACTGAGTAAGTTTTTATAGACATTAGAGGTTTATGTGGCTCATGGTTCTGGAGGCTGGTATCCAGTATTGAAAGGCTGTGTCTTGTGACTACTTTGTTACTGTATCACAATGTAGTGGAAGAGCAGGTAAGCATTTGTGAGACAGAGAGAGAAAAAGGGTGGTAGGGGCTGGACATTTTGTTTTCACGAGCTCATTCCTAAGGTAATGGCATTAATCCATTCTTGTTTTATTTTGGGTTTTTGTTTTGTTTTTTAGAATAGGGTCTCCCTAAGTTACCCAGGCGGCTTGAACGTGCGTTGCCTCAGCCTCCCAGAGTTCTGGCATTATAAACACCACATCCACCCCTTCACTTTTTAATGCTATTACAAATACAATTAAAATGCAACAAGAGTTTTAGAGAGAACGTTCAAACCATTGCAGCACCTGATAGCTCTCCAAAGCTGCCGTGTCTGAAGCCGAGCTCCTGTTCCTCCTGCTCCCTGTAAGCATTGCTCCTCCGGCGCTCCTCCCTTCTTGGTAACTTGCTGCAGTGTCTTGCTGAGTGCCCTTTTCTCACTTGACAGACTTGCCCAGCAAATCCTGTCTTCGGCTACTAGCATCTGGTTTAAGCTGTTGTCTTATTTTTGCTTCTTCTTGCTTCTGTCTGTGCCCCCAGTGATCTTCTGCACACAGCAGCCAGAGTGATCATTTTAAAACTCAAAAGCTTTTTACCCTGCTCTGTTCCAACTGTCCAGTGGTCATCAACTTATTCCAAGTAAAAGCAGAGTTCCTGTGACAGCACTATGTGATCTGGCCCCAGTCTTCTGGGTCTTGCTACATCCTGCCTTACTTGGCTGCAGTAACACTGGCTTCTTTGCTATTGCTTGAATGTGAGGTTCTGTCTTCTACTGTGTGGGCTCACTGTTTAGAAGTGTCCTTGTCTAGATGTCCTCATGGCTGGTCCTATATGTTTTACTTTTTGCCCAAATGTCACCTTCTCACGAGCTTTTCCCTAACTTCCTTAAAAGATTACATTTTCATTACCATACCCGTTGTCATTTCTCCCTTATGTTTCTCTGTAGCATGTATCACCCTCTCATATCCTATATAATACTTTGTTTGCTTATTGTCCATCTTTGCAATCTTTGTGGAAGTGAGCTTTTTGTCAAGGTTTATTGCATTCCCAGTTCCTGGCATAGTACTTAACAAGTGATGGGCTTTGCAAACTAAGTACCTTTGAACCACAGACTGAGTGCTGCATAGAAAACATTCCGTCAGTGGTAGGTGTCTTGTACTTTCTTGCTAACAAGGACATGGTATATGATGGAGTGGGACCAGCTTTCGAAGAGCTTACTATGCATGATAGGAACTTTGAAAGTCATTTAATACATCATCAAGCCATTAAAATTTTGAAGTAGAAAAGCAAAAGCCAGCCATATTTTAGAAGACGGAGCTGGTGCATCAGACCTAATGGATTGGCAAAGGAGAGATGAGGTCAGAGAGAACATTTGGGAGGGTTGTGAGCTAAGTGAGCAGCTTGGTGTGTAGTGAGCATGGCGAGTCAGATGTTAGGAGAGCTGCTTGTATTGGAGGTGGAACTAATGGAACCTGGAGGCTGTGTAGAAAAAAGAGGTCTGTCACAGATGGTCGCACTTGAGGATTGCTGAGTTACTGAGGAAGGTCACAGAGGAGAGGACACCAGAAGCACAGGTGGAAGGAGGGCTGAGTAGATGACTGTCTCTTTGCTATGATGGTTAAATATTCAGGGCATTCTAAGGGAGGAGAGGTTGACAGCTCCTGGATTAGAGTATGGAGCTTGGAGGCAGAGTTAAGAGCATCACTTTGATGAATGAATGTGCAGTCAGGAAGTTAAGCAGGAAAAGGTAAGTCAGAGTAAGGAACCAACTGGTGTGAAGTGGGCAGTGTGGCTTTGTTGTGAATATTCCTGAAAAAGCAGATGCCTCCTCCCTCAACGTTGGGCAGAAAAGGTTTTGTACCAGACTTCTGGGAGAACATGGCGGACAAATAACAGCAGCCACGGAGGCTCTCTGAGATTACCAGCTTAGAATCCAGGAGCGGTGCCATGTGAGGAGTCCTACGCAAGGGGAGATGTACCCTGCCAACCCAGGAACAAAGTAAGCTGAGAGAAACCAACTGGAAATGCAATCCTGATGCTATAACAGGAACAGATAAAATCTCAGTGCGGAAGCTGGATCCCGTGCCATTGGAAGCCGCGATTTGAATTTCCTGCTGCCGATACTGTGTCCCAATCCGCATGGCAGGGAGAGAAGCGGGCGAAAGCTCTGAGATCAGGAATTGGCCCAAATGGCATTGAGAGCGGGACTGGTTCGACCTGCAGTGAGTGAAATGGGGACCCTTTCATAGACTAGGAGGCTCCAACAGAGGACATTCTGGGAACGGGCAGACTAGCCAGAACACAGCCCTGCAGTGACTTTAGTCGGATATTCCCCCCTCAAGCGGGAGTGGTGGGGAGTGCTTGGCCTGGTGACGCTGCGAACTAAGATCCTGTAGGCTAGCCCAAATCAGGTCCCTGTGCCTGGCGGCGCACCCTAGCAGTGAAACACTCAGTAGGTTGACCTGGAGGGGCGGGCCCAGCAGAGGCTGCCCAGGTCTGTGTCTCCCTAGTACACTGCAGTGGGCGGGAACACCTAGCCGGCAGATTGTTTTCAAACAAACTGCAACAGACAAAGAAAAAAAAAAAAAAAAAAACTGAGCCTCCTACATAGGCTTGTATGGAAGGAACAAAAAGTATGGGAAAAGGGAGCAACAAGAAAGGCTCCTCAGTCCCCAATCCTGAGAACACTGATCCAGGAAAGGTAAAAGCAAAAGAGAATGAAGACAGAAAACATGCAATATCAGACACGGCACCTATAGATATAAAACGGTATCTCCGGAACTTCATAGACGAGTTCAAAAATGAAGTATTTAATGAAATAAAGCAAGAAATAAGTAGAATAGTTAGAGAAATGCTAAGCACCGCCCAAGAAAAAACAGATGGTGGAATGGAAGAACAGAAAAAAAGGGGAGAATTGTTTGATGGAGAAAATAGAGAAAACATAGAATACGTGAAGCAGGTTCACAGAGATTACCAGGAAACTAAAAACTCTATTGAAAGCTGGCATAACAGCTTGAAAGAAACTAAGGGTAGATTATCAGAACTGGAGGACAGATTTGTAATGTGGGAGCATGAAATGAAAAACTTCTTAAAAATAACAAGAAAACAAACAGCAATAATACAAAGACTAGAAGATGACAAGAGGATCTATAACTTAAGAATTAACATAAAAGAAGAAGTAGGGACTCAAACAAATGAACTACCAAAGCTATTCACAGAAATAATCCAGGAGAATTTTCCTAATTTAGCAAAAGGTAAAGATACTCAGATGTATGAGGCATACAGGACCCCAGCCATCTACAACCCAAACAGAACTACACCAGGCATATAATAATCAAAATTCCAGAAATCCAATATAAGAACAGAATATTAAAAGCCATCAGAGACAAGAAACAGATCACTTACAAGGGAACACCCATCAGATTTACAGCAGACTTCTTGGCACAAACCATCAAATCACGAAGAGCGTGGGGGGAAATAATTCAAGCTTTGAAAGATAATGACTTCCAGCCAAGATTGATATATCCTGCACAACTGTCCCTAGAAATTGATGGAAAAACAAGGTGCTTCCAGGATAAAGAGGAACTAGGGGAATTTGCAACCACCAATTCAACTCTACAGAGGTTACTGCAGGATATTCTAAAAATGAAAAATACCAAGATTCCAGAAACAGTGACAGAGAGGCCACAGTGAATGGAGCAGAAGGGGAAATGCAGAAGACAAACTGACAACTAATGACAGAAAAAAAGCTCAACAGAAAGGCAGAGAAGGTTGGATGGTAGGAACAGCCATTTTGGAGAAAACAAGACATCATAATAGGTAGTGCTGATTTAATATCTTCTTGTTTTGAAGTCCCATCAAGCTTTTGTTCTTCTGTCTCCATCGGTTTTAACGTGTTGTATCTTGTTGGATTTTATTATATGTGATAATATAAACAAAAATTTTTATAGACAAGGAGATTATACAGAAACCATTGTTCATTTTCTGTTAGTTGATTTTAAATACCCTGTAATACTGTCATTCTCTTGAATGGTTTTACATTGTCTTGATATGTTTGATGCTACAGTATATGAAGTTATACCCAAAGATTTTAAGGGAAGAGACACTATGGTAACTACTATTATGTCAAGATTATCTTGTGGTGAAACTCTATTTTGCTTAAATGGTTATGTTTTGACCTGCACTGTTTTGTTGTTATGCCCTCTTTTTTTTTATCTCAATCTCCTTTTTATTATCTACTTTTTCATTTTTATCCTTTTAATTAAGGGAAAAATAAATAAAAAATAGCAGGATATATTATACTAACCCACTTTGATTTCCTAATAACTTGATTTGAAACTCTGTATTGCTCTCACCATCTTGTTTTGACTGATTTTCCTCTATTCTGTTATGCTAGATAGTACCAAGTTTGAAAGTCTAGGCAACAACTATGAAGACAATAAGATCCATTGTGATGCCCATCTGGTTGACTGTTATCTTCTTTTGAAGTCCTCTAATGTCTCCAATGTTTTGGTTTTATTGGTCTTATTCTTTACTGTTTTGTTCAATTTTATTATAACTGATGATATAGGCAATTCTTTCTAAGATAACAAGAGGCATTATGATAACCATTGTTGATCACCTTGTATTTTGTTTTTACATTATGTATTATGTCCATCCTTTTGATTTGACTGACTCTGTCCTGGTATGTCACATTTGGTTTTACTTTCTTCAAAAAAAAAAAGTAATAAAAACTGTGGGAGTAATAAAACCCAAAATGTGTAATTGTCATTGTACAAAAGAAAAGAAAAGAAAGTTCTCTAAAAGATATAACTGCATATATATTTAAGTGTATAAGACAGATAACCATATTACTGAGTTTTGTTGGATTATTGAACAAAACTGTTTGCAGTCTCACTGTTTGAAAGTCCCCTCTACATGCTTTAATTTTGTAACTTCAACAACTATTTCTAAGATGACAATATGTAATTAACTAGTGATTTCCTGTTGTTTATTTTTTCTGAAATTCTGTATAACTTGTACCCTTTTTCTGTTTTTTTTTTTCCTCCTTAAATAAAATTTAAAAAAAAAAAAAAAAGAAAAGGTTTTGTACCCTGGGAGCTACCACTCTAAGGTGGCATAGGAAAGGGAGCTGAATCTTTGTCTAGATTTCAGCTTTTAGAACTAGAAAGAACTTTGTGCCAGTTTTTTAAATGACTACAGTTTAATAGTTACTTCAGATTATAGTCTGCAATTCTGAGACAGATGTCAAGGTGATTTTAAAAACTTTCTCCTTTCCTCCTATCTTGTTGCTAGTTGGTCATTTCATTAGGAAAGATAAATGTACATATGGAAAGCTGTGGAGTGATTTCAGAAAGACCTCATTCCCTGCAGAGATACCCTTGCCATGTGCTCTCCCCTCATTAGTTGCCCTGTCTGAGACCCAAAGTGATTGTACTCTGGGGCAGGGCAGTTTCTGCTGAAACTGACACCCACTGGCAGTCTGGAGTGGTGCTGAAATGTGGACTTACCCAGTGAAAGCCACACTGGAAATTGGCAGCTCCTTTTACCTCCACCAACAAGTGACCATTTGTTAGAGCTTAGCTATGTTAAAGCATCAATAACCTGCCCTAATTTGAACTGGAGCCTTAGGAGAATTGATAGTTTCTTTGGCATGTACATAGTTTTAGGAGGTTTATTTACTGTTAAGTAGTATTTGCTTAAATGTATTTTATTTGCTTGTCCTCTAAAGCTTGGTGATGATTTTGGACACAGGAGCTATGGATTTGCGTACCCTGTGTGCCTTTCATTGTCTTCTCCATGAGCCTTGCCCTTCTCTCATCCCCTCTGAAACAACTCATGTCACACATCACTGGGAAATTTGTCTAACATGACAAATTATTCCTTTATTTCGCATCCCAGCACTTGAGTTCTCAGCCGTATTCCTGTATGGGCAGTAGAATACAGAAAGTCTCAGGGTCCCCATCCCTGGAGTGCATAGACAGAACCCAGACTTGTCTGTCAGTTTGGACTCTGTGTACACCTTCCCCCGGAGTTCAGCTGTCCTCCCTCGAAAGTGAGTGAGAATAATTCCACCCATGAAGCTGCGGTGGGGACTGACGAGGTAGTAAGGTGCATAAAGCACTTGTCAGTGCTTTGTAAACCACTGCTTACCCCAGGCCTGACATTAAATATAAATCTTGTTTGGACCCAAAGGCTTGTAAGCCCCCTAAAGGACTTGGGGAACGGGAAAGGCATCCAGAACCCGCCACATGCTGGTGCATTGGTGAAAGCCCCGTGAAGACCGAGGTTAGGGATGCATGCATCTTTCCCATGCAGAGAGGATTCTGTGGAGCACAGGGGTTGGACCACAGATGTCGGCCACAGGAATCTGCTGTGCAATCTGGGGCAAGCTATTTGAACTCTCTGACTTTTATAAAGATCAGGTGTGTGCAGTGCTCAGTATGAGAGCTCAGTAATGCTTAGAAGACTAGAGTCAGACACAACATCTCAGTTTGTTTGCTGTTCTTCACTGTCACATACCTGCAATAGAAATGGGTTTTCTAGACTGTAGTTTCCTTAATTTTTAAGGCTTCATATATTTTTTTCCTTCATCATAAGAGAAACTTTTATTAGTAGCCAAGGTAGAATGCTCTTTGACAATTAGTCCTGTAAAGGTTATCCTTGAGTTGTAGGATATGTAATAAAGATGTTTTTTCTTTATCCTGCTCTTAATTATTTCGTACTATGAACATGCCACATTTTGTTTACCCTGGCTTTTTGGTTAAGACATAGATGATTTAATTTATTGACTGCTCTTTATGTGTGAAGCACTCTTCAAGGGCTCAGGGGCACAGCAGTGAACAGGACTATAAGGGGCCTGCTCCCTTGAAGTCTTCATGTTACAAAACTCCTCGACTGTCATCCAGAGTGCCTGTGCCATATTGTGGTCCCTCTGTTAGGTTGCTCGGCATCTTCGCCAGTGCTGGATTTTGCCTTTTTTAAAAAATAATTCCAGTCATTCATTCTAGCAGGTGTGTGGCATGTCCTTGTAGTTGTAATGTAGATGTTCCACTGACAAGTGAAGTTAAGCAGTGTTTCATATGGTCTGGGCCATTTGGAAGAGCCTCTTCAGTACTGTGCCTGCTTCTGCCATTTGCCTGGGTTTATAGTGAGTTATCTAAGATTTTCTAACTGAGTAGTAGGAATTTTTTCTGTATTCTAGATACAGTTTTTAGATAATACTTGAGTTGCAAATATTTTTTCCTCTGCTGTCTGCCACCTGCTTTGAAAATACTTTTATTGGAACGTAGCCACATGTTGTTCGTGTGTTGTCTGTGACTGCTTTTGCATTGCACAGGGAGAGTGAAGTAGTTGTGATAGAGACCTGGTTATCCACAGAACCTAAAATATTTAGTATCCAATCGTTTACAGAAAAATTCATGGGCCACAGATGTAGATGACTATATTTGTTTTCTCTGGCTGCATAACAAATTACTACACACACATGTATCAACCTACAGATTCCCATGGATGAGAGGCTGAAAATAGCTTAGCGGGTCCTCTGCAGAGGATCACCCAAGACTGCAACCAAGGTGCTAGCCAGGCCGCGGCCCTCTTTAGAGGCCTTTACGAGGAAAAGGCTCAAGTCCGAGCGTGTACAACCTGCAGGCAGGATGATTTCCTATGGCTGTGACAGTGACAGCCTTAATGTGTTGCTGGTTGCATGCTAGAGTCATCCTAGCTCCTCAGGAAGCATCCTAGCTCCCCAGCAGGGGAACCTTACTGGGCACACATGGCTGTTCAGAGCCAGCAGCACAGCAAGAATGAGTCTGCTGGAAAGATGGCGGCTTATACAGCACACCAATATAGGAATGCCATTCCTCATTGCCTTTACTGTCTTTCAGCTAGAAGTAGTCACCAGACCTGCTCATACAGGAGAGAAGGGGATTATACAAAGGCAGGAACACCAAGAAGCAGCGTCAAGGGGGTCACTTTAGAGTCTGTCTGCCACAGTAACATGAGTCACGTGTGACATTTAAGTCATCAGGTGCTTTTCCTATACTTAGGTAATTGGATACTTTTTTTTTGTTTGTCTTTTTGAGACAGGGTCTCTCTGTGCAGTTCAGGCTGGCCTTGAGCTCACTTTATAGCCTAGGCTGGTCTCAAACTCGCAACAATCCTTCTGCCTCTGCCTCCTGAGTCCTGGGATTACAGGTGTGTGCCACCATGCCTGGCATTGGACACTTTTTTAATAAAAAGTTGGATCATACCTACAACTTATTGTGCAACTGGTTTATATAACAGTATCACAAGCAAAATAGCAAACACTCTTCAAGTCAGTAAGTCTAGATCCACAGCATGTCTCATAATAGCTGCATTGCATCCACTGTATGGACATGATTTACTTAATTATATTCCTTATGTTAAATATCAAGCTTTCTTTATGGTACCATTTTCCAGATTCATAGACATGAATGCCCATTTCCCGTCTACCACTTGGGGCTGACTGTGATTCTCTTGTAGTCACTGGCTCTTGACTCAGTATGTAAGTAAACCAAATTCTCCCTTCTCTCCTCTTTCTCCTGTGTATCCTACTTTAGATAAGAAGGCAGATTGCACCATCACCATGGCTGACTCAGACTTGCTGGCCCTAATGACTGGTAAAATGAATCCTCAGTCGGTAAGTTTGATGGCACCTCTATCCTACTAGCAGGTAAACCTTTCAGCCCTTTGTACTTCACGTTCACACCTTCATGTGCAAAGTGGTCCGACCCACAAAACTCAGCATTCTCCAGAATATCACCTGACAAATGACAGACATTTGTGGAGCCAGCTGTGTGTCAGACACTGGAAGTGCCAGATTCAGGAAATAGTTCCCACAGTCAGGGCAACCACACTTTAATATGAGACCAGTCGGTAAAAGAGTTAGTACAGCCAGAGATCCAGGCTGCCCCACCTGGCTCACAGTCAAGGGGCCTTGTTTCCTGGGACATTAGGACCCCCCAGGACAGCCAGACAGTGGCAACACCCAATGGAGAGGAGTAGCTGTAGGTTCTGTGTTTTTGCCTTTGTTCTTCTTGTCTGAACTCTCCTTCCCTGACACAACCCCTGTCTTTTGAAACTAACTCAGATACTATCTCCTAGGACCCCCTCTAAACTGTTGAGGTGTAGAGCCCCGCCTCTGAGCCACTTACTGGACTGTTGGCTCAGCACTCGTCATGATATGTTAGTTGTTTATTTATTTATTTATTTATTGTCTTTTTCCTTTTTATCGGTACCAGGGATGGAACTCACGACTGCCTGCTTGCAAGGCAGGTGCTTATGCTGCTGAGCTAAATCCCCAGTCCCTATGATATGTTAGTTGTAATGTGCCTCTCTTTTCCATCAAATAGTGAGTGTCTCAAATACAAATCACATCATATGGATCTCTGTGCTTCTAGAACCTAGCACAATGTCTGATGTGCTCAGGCTTTTATAAACAGTTGTTGGATTCCATTGTGTTTGACTAAAATATGTTAGTGCCTTGTGTGGATCTTCCTCGTCCCCAGATGGTCAAGAGTCTCTTCGTATTCTTCAGTCGTGTGGTGTTGAACAGACAGGATGCACTGAGCTTGGTGTACTGAACTTTCCATTAGCAAAAAGAAGCTAAGACCTTGCTTTGCATTGTAACTTAATTTGTTGCCTCAGTCTTATTTGTTTCAGAGCATATTCTCATCCTTCCCTGGTAATTCATAAGACTGGATAAAATAACTCAGTGGGACTCTCACTTGTATGCCTTTTTAAAAAAATTTTTAAGCCACTACACATATTTCAGTTGGTACCATGATGTTTCAGTGGCAAACACACTGACATTTCCACCCTCAGAGCTGCTCTCAAAACCTGGACGGAACAGAGGCCACCAGTATCGGAGCTGGCAGTCATTCTCCTTCCCAGCCACACTTCTGTCCCCCTGCAGACACTGCGTACTAGTTTGGCCTGGTGTGCAGACTTCATGCATCAGCTGCCTTCACTCTCTCCATATATCCGTACACTTCCTGTTTGGAGTATGGGGGGGAAGTGACAGTTTCTTTTCCTTTAGCACCTGTTAGCACCAAGGGAGGCAGAGATTGAAATGGCAGACCTTTGGGTAATGTGCTAATGGCCTTCCCTTATGTTCAGTAGAGGACTTGACTGGGAATCATTAAATGTAGTGGAAATTCTAATTTCAGTGTTTGCTACATTTGAAACAAAGCCATGTGCTCTCCAGCCCAAAGCACACATAAAGAACACCTAGGGGCCACTTTAACATGATCTGTATGTTTGGGTTCTCCATAGGGTCAGATTCGTGTTTTCTCTATTAATAAATAAAGCATTATTTTCCTTTTAAGTTAAAAAGAGGAAAGATGATGCATTTCTTTTGTACTGCCGATCCATGTTTTTCAGTGACATATGTTAAATGTATTGTGTTCTGAGACACCTGACCTTTAAGTCATCAGGAGGCTTCGTGCCATATAGAAAGGAAATATTTAGTTTGTCCAGACAGGGAGGGGAGAATAAAAAGGAATTAGTCACCCTTACCAGGAGGTGTACAAAAAAACTAGTAAAACTCCTCATTTCTTAATATACTTATATAAAAAGCTAAGACTGTCAGAAACTTTTCTCACCTAGCTCTTCCTCACTTGAGTTGAGTTAAAAGATTGGGCATGGCAGGAATATCATGCTGTGCTCCCAACTTTGCTGTTCCTCTGTAAGTTGTTCTGGGGTTTTGTTTCCTGGTAAATTTAGCAAACATAATGTGATCTAATCCAAGTGTCATAAAAGGGAACAGATTTCAACTCTGCCCTTCAAAGTGGTCAGAGTCTTCTCACTGGGCCACAGAGTAACATGGGTTCCAAAGACACACAGGCCTGTCTTCTGAGTGGACCACTCTTCATCAGGGAAAACTAAACAGAGCAAGTCTCACTTTCTAGGAGAAGACATTTTGGGGGAAAAGAAGCAGAGAGACATTTGAGGGGAGTATCCCCTCCTTCTGCTCTACGTAAAACACGGCTTTCACAGTCCTTTTGTCTGAGGGATGTGACTAACTCTGTTTCAAAAAGCTGTCATATTTTGAAGAACGTTGAATGACCTGAATGAATGATCTCAGGGCCGGGAGTCCAGGAGCATTAGCAATCTCAAGACAGAACCCACCATTTCTCTCTCTTCTTTCTCACAGGCCTTCTTTCAAGGTAAATTGAAAATCTCTGGCAACATGGGTCTGGCGATGAAGCTACAGAATCTTCAGCTTCAGCCAGGCAAAGCCAAGCTGTGAAGAACTAACTCCCTCTGGCAACTCTGGAAAATCACGATGAGATATAGATCCATATATTTCATTGTCAGAACTTAGATTGAAACTACACATTGGCAAATAATCTGAGATAGCTCTGTTGTTCCATGGGTTGTTCCAGTCGTGTTTTCCTGGCCTCTGCATGCAGAGCCTGATATACTACTGCTATGCGGAATTGCATATAAATATGCAGGACAGAGTTAATATGGTAATTATGGTTTGGGGTAAATTTGAGTTTCAGAATAAAAGTAGGAACAGTAAAATCTAAAAACTGTAAACAAAAGCTCTTGTTTTACATAAAAGTATATTCAAGGATTATCCTGTGGCAGATATAATTTAGAGTTTTTCTTAGGAGAACTGGGGAAGAAGCAATACCAGTAGCTGGCAAACAATTAATGTCTTGTATTTGATGACCTTCATTGATTTCTCATTAACAGTTCTTAAACTTCTGTACTGGAATACACATCTTTAGAATTTTGCATTTTATGCCATCACAAAGAAACATTTTCCCCAAATAAAATGAAATATGATCAGAGCTTGGGGGAAACATTTATAGATGAATACAGGCCTATTTTTAAAGTGAAATTATTTTTTAAATGATGTTCCTTCTTGAAAAATCAGGGTATTAGAGTTGTAAAATGCTATTGCTAAAAATAATTGAACAAATAAAGTTTGTTTTCAGAGGCACAGTTCTCAGACTACAATCTCATTAATTTATGTTTATAAAGTTTTCAGTCTTGTTTTTTTTTCCTGTTTAGGTTAACTTCTTTTTATCTTTCTTCCTGATTTTTCTAATGCTGTTATTTTCTATAACTCATAAATGAGATAAAAATAATGCTTTTGGAAGAATATTCAATAGAAAATAACAGTAACTCTTTCTGACCTCCTTTGTGTTGTGTATGTTGTTTTTACTCAGGATTTTCTTGGTGGAGCATGGGAAGAAACACTGGGGTTTACATATTGGACAGTATCTCCTGTTGGCCCTGACATCATTACCTGCTCTCCATTAGGAGCATAGTAGGAAGAGCATGTGGCCATGAAGCCAGGAGAGCTGGCTCTTTTAGGCAGGTAAATAACTGCCTCCCAGTTTCCCAGACTGTTAAAAAGAAGGCCACTAAGCAGATGTCACTAAGGTCCCTTCTGTTGTGATGATCTTCTGAATCATTGTCGGGGAGTTGTACAGGCTACCTTCCTGTTTTTACTGTACCCAAAAGTGGTCAGAAGTAAAAAGCCATGTTACTCATTTGTCTTAGATGTTTAGATCTCTTGCTGATGGAATCAGGACTGTGGACCAGATGCCCTGTATCGTTGGACTTTGCATGTTCTCTGACAGTAACAATGTTTAATGTTAGGGTCAGAGAATAAATTAAGCCAATACTACTAGTCAACCTAGAAGTCACAACACAGACTTACTTTCTAATTATATTCTTACTCTGAGAGAGAGAGAGAGTACCCAACAAAATGCCTGATTTGTCTGTAGCTTGGATCTGCATCATTCTGTCTTTACTGGTTCCAGAAAACAAGAAAAACCTGAAGCCCTGTGTGGTGGTGCAAGCCTGTGAGCCCAGCACTTTGGGATACTGAAGTAAAGGAACTACAAACTTAAGCCCCAGCTGGGCAAGTTAGGGAATATAAGACAGTCACTGATGACCACTACAAAGCAGTTTTGGTGTAGTAGTAGGGATGAAAGCTAGATTGGGATTAGTTTCAAAAGCTCTCCGAGTAATAAGAACAAGAGTTCCATTGGGTGATGATATGCACGGTTCTTACGGAGTCACAGAGCAGGCACATCAGTGGACACCAAGCTCCAAGCTAGGTCATCGTGCACAGGCTGCTGTCACCAATCAGTCCCTGGCCGCCCTACTACACACCAGACAAACGCACGGGCACGCACGTGCATGCATGCGTGCATGCACAGAAAAGTCCTTTTCATCCTTTAGGACCTCCTCAGATGTCTTCCAGGGAGCTGTCCCTGTTTGCCACAAAGTAGACCACCTCAGTCCTCGTGGTCCATTTCAACAGCCCCAGCACAGAGTCTTGGCTGGCTGTCCCCAGATAATTGAATGAAACAAGCTAAATAACAACCTCATATTCGTCAGGGGCGTTTCCAAGGATGAGAGCTCTGTACGGAAACTGCAGAACCTAGTCAGGAAAAAGGTCTCTTACAAAGACCTGCTTCCCTGCTGATGAAGATGCCCAATTTGTCCTGACCTTTTCTTTGAAAATGTTTGCAGCCTCTCATAATTTCAGACGGAAGCAGTCTGCAATTGCAAGCAAAATCAGTTTATTATTAGCATTATTAACCTTTATTTAAAAAAACTGGCCTGCAGGAGTTTTGGTGCATTAGAATCATTAGTCTTGTGACTGGCTGCTGGATGAGTTCAGTCTCCAGTCCCTAAAGTCCTTGCTGAGTGTGCAGAGGGACAGTAAGGGCAAGGATGGCCAGAAAGCATAGTGTGCCGGCAGAGGTGCAAGGAGAGCTGCTCAACCACGGGCAAAGAACTCTTGGGTCAGGACATGATTAGAGGCAGTCACCGCCTCATGGACCCTCTGTTAGAGAAAGATGTTAAGGGCTCCATCGCCTCTGCAAAAGGAAAACCGTTACATTTACCGAGGGGAGGTCTCTTACTAGCCCGTAAACTCTTAGACTAGAAACTGCTACTCCAGTGTTCGGTGCAGTGAGTGAGCTCAGTAGTTGTTTTGCGGGTGAATGAAGGATAGGCAGTGATGTCCTTTTTAGGTTGCAAAATATTTTGTAAAAGATTCAGTCACATACCTACATCTTTCCATAGACAGTATTTTATTTCAGGGAGAAAAAATGGAAATTAAAACCTGCAGCTGACAGCTTTATCTCTTGAAACTAACAGTTTTAGAAAAGAATACACTTAGAGCAGCATGGTATGGTGGGAAAAAACTGCACCCCACCCAATGTGGGGTTTGGGCCTAGCTGTGGCACTTAAATAACTTTGGGCACTTGAGCTACTAATAGCTACTAAGCCTGTTTCTCTATCAGAAGGGAGTAGTCGTGCTTACCTGTTAATGGGCAAGGGGATTAGTCAGTACAGCTGTACAATGTCCAGCACACAGTAGGTACTCAGCACATCATGCCTGAAGCAGTTATTCATTGGGACATTGTGAGACAATCCTTTGAGTTCAGATAATCAGCCTCAGGAGTGAGGACAAGTTACTTTTAGTGACCATATCCTTATATTTTCTTTAAGACCCATTAAAGTGTAATAGTTTTTGTAACTAAATGAATGTGTATAGGATTACTTAGTATCTCAGAAGATACACATTTTGGGCAAAGATTACAGTTCTAACTGCCTATGCCAATGATGCTTTTTGAACACAAGAAGTTTGATGTTATTGACTAAAAATAGATAATCAGCCTTGTTATTCCTCTGGATATATTAGTCAGGGATAGATCTTGTTTAGAAACTACACTGATATGAATTAGGAGTTTGTTAAATGGCTGATGAGGGGCCTGAAAGATTTATATGCTATCAGAACTACAGCCAAGTCTGGCCAAATTTTAGAGTTTTTCTTAATAGTGAGTTACAAAATCTCCTGGAAAGGTCCCATTAGATCTATCTGGAGACTGCTGCAAACAAACAGCTCTTTAGTTCTCGGTAAGAACAGAAAATATTGGGCCATATTTCTGGTGCTTATGAAATGAATCTGATTCTGTTTGGCTAGAGGTTTAATCTGGTTTAGCCAGATTTCTTTTTGTTTGTTTGGGGTTTTTTGGTTTTGTTGCTCAGTACTGGGGGATCGAACTCGTGTTTGCCAGGCAGTCACAGTGTCACTGAGCTACACCCCCAGCCCTAAGCCAGATTTCGTGACATGGTCCTTTAACTACTTCATAAATAGTCACAGTGGTGTTTTCAGTGGCATCTAGGAACCACGTGACCTTTTAGTTGTTCTGTTTGTAGCCATCCACCGTTGCGTAGAATTGGGGAAAATTTGTTTTTAATTTGCTGTTGATTTAAATTGCAGGCAGAGAAGCAGTACTTACTTCTAACCAACTATTAACAATTGCATCTTTTTTCTGTGAGTTATTGTGTAATTCACTTTTTGACATCTGCTGTAATGTGCAAAGCACTGTTCAAGATAAGATACTTCATTAAGACAAAAATAAATAGCAGAGACCTTTGACCATGAAGACACTAATCTAAGAGAGTCATTTCCTGAGGCAGGCTGAAAGAAGACTTCAGTTTGGCAAAACACTATCCATGGCAGAGTGTGATATCAGTTCACAAATATTTGGGAGATGGCAAGACTAGAGAGGGGGAGGAATTATTTTGCTTAGTTATTAGAAATAAAGAGAAACTTCAGGCCGAAACTTAGCTGAACATCTTGACTGTAACGACTTGACAGTGTCTTGGAAGGTCCAAGGACAGAGGTGTTCCAGAGTGCAGCTGATGGGAACCCCATTTCACTGCAAGGGATGCATCTTAATAGCGGCTACCAGATCAGGAGAATCAAGACTGAACAGCCACGCTGGATTACTTCTTTTACCATTTATCAAAATGTTTCTTTTCTTCTGTGTGCCAGAAGGAAAACTTGATATCTTTTTATTTACTTGTTTATTCTTGGACTTGTTCTTGCTATTTTTAAAAAAGCCAAGTATGCAAAAGCTTTCAAGTTTACATAGTATGAAAGCAGCCTTATTGCTATTTTTGTTTTGTTTGCTCCTTGTTGGTCCTTTTTTGTAGTTGATTTTTATTTGGTTTGTAGATCATTCCCTGAGCCACAGATTGGCAGTTGTAGCACAGAACACCACTGCTAGAAATAGAACCTGAAGACCTGAGTTTGAGTTCTGCCTCAAAGACTCATTAACTGCATCCTGTAAGCAAGCTTTGCACCCTCCCTGAGCACCAGTTTTCTAAAATAAGGTGCAATAATGACACTGTCATCCCTGGGAGCCTGGTTGGGTTCTAATGGTTTCTTTGCTAGGGTCTTTGACTTTGCTGAGGTCAAGATTTTGTAGTCCTGGGCTCCTCGCTGGAGGCTCTTGGGGCAAATCCACTTCTGTGCTCACTCAGGATTTTGGCAGAGCTCAGTCCCGTGCGGCCTCAGGACCGAGGTCTCTGCTTCCTTGCTGGTGGCCTGCAGGTGTTTGATCTAGAGCTGTCTCATGATCGCTTCATATTTAAACTAGTCAAGTCCTTCTCACATTTCAGATCTCTCTGACTCCTCTACTTCATCTTTGCTGTCCACAGCCAGAAAACATCACTGTTCCAAAAATTAGATTAGTTCTAAAATCTTAGGCTGGGTTGTAGTTCAGTGGTACAGCCCTTGCCTGAGGTCCTGAGTTCTATCCCCAGCACCAAAACAAAACCAAACCCATAATCTTAATTACAAATATAAAAGTCCTCTGTATTACATAACATTCACAGGTCCAGGGACTGTGGTATGGACATGGTAGGGTAGGGGGCATTGTAGCTACCCACAGAACATAAGATGAGGTTCTTGCCCTGGAGGGATCCCAGTGTGGCAAGGAAAGTGATGCAGGGTTTGGGTGAGATGTTACAGGAGTCCAGAAGACCTGTGTGCCTGCTTGACTTGTGGTTTCCCCATCGTTCTCTGCTTACCCCTTGGTGAGTCTTGTCTTTCATCAGGATCTTTCGGATTGAATCCAGACCCCAAATACCACCAGGGGATTTGATCAAGCCACTGCCATGGATCAGTATTTAGGACTCAATAAGAAGGGTCTTGGGCCCTCAGTACAAGATAAAAGGAATTACTTCCTCCTCCTGATGAGAAAGTATAACAGCTTGTTGTTCCTCCCCCTTCTTTTTATGAGCAAACCCCCTTGAGAGAACCCTTGCTCTCTCTACCATGTGTCTTCCTCCCTCCTCGTGAGCGTTCTGTTTCTAATTAGAAGGCACTTGTCTGGGCTAGTGCAGTGGGTCCTGTTTCATTCTTGCCACTTGTCATTTCTACTTGAATGCTGCCTGGATGTTTGACCAGGTGTGGGTGATAGTTTTGTGACAACTGCCTTTTACTAAGTACTTACCACGGGTCAGGTGCTGTGCAGTCCTTTTGTAATGGGCAGGTACTATTTTTAATTTTCATTTGAACCCGGCTGATAAAAGCCCTGGTCTACATGTAAAGCTTGTACCTGGTACCACACACTAATGTCAGACAGGGCCTGACAGTAGGGGCCAGTGTGGAGGAGCTGGAGCAGCACAAGTAGGTCCAGGAAACCTAAATTTACAGCCCTTCTGAAAGAAACTGTTTTGTCTTCATTTTTCCACCAGCTACAGCATCAGACCCCACCAGGCAGGTATGGGCACCGGCCTGGCAGACCCTATTTCAAGGGGGCTCTGGAGAGTGAGTTGTGGTGTGCCTTGTGCCTGGACGTTTACACAGCCTGGCCCTTGCAGTCATACCTTCCAAATGGGGGTGGGATAATAGGATATTTAAGATTTTAGGACAGTGCCTGGCACTTGGTGGGTATTTGGTATGTGCTGGTTCTCATTATCCTAGAAGAGTTTAGTTCCTGACTGTTAAGCCAGTAGACTTTTGTTCTCTCAGTTCAACTTGAACCTCAGTGTTCTGGAGAAGACATGAGATGCATCGCTGTGTTGGTCCCGGTCCAATCCTGTGAATCATACCAATGCTCCAGTCTGATCTCAGAGAGGACTGGGCTTTGGGGCCAAAGAAGGCAAAATATTTCCTTTCCTGCTCTTGCTGAGTTCTTTAGTTAAGGGTGCAATGGAAACACAGTCATGGGTTCAAATCCAGGCTCTACACTTGCCTCCTCAGGTGACTTGCCTGTTACCACCTTGGGGAGGCTGTCGAGAAAGGTGGGCTGGGGTTCAGAACACACTCTAACAGTCCAAAGCTGTTTGACTCAGCCACTCGCCCTTTCTGAGGCTGTCCCTTCCCTTGTGAAATGGGGGAAGCTGCAGGCTTCTCTCTCAGAGCTGTGAAGAGTGCAGGGGTGCACGTGATGATTACCAACAGGGCGCCCTAGCAAGGCAACCAGTGAAAAGTCAGGCTCGTTAAGAAAGCCATGCATCCGCGCAGAGTCTTGGCAGTTTAGCTGAGCAGGAAGTCCCACGTTTGGTTTATTTATTCCCCCTCTCCAGGAATCACGTGAGGCAGTTATGGGTGTCCTTCCCACAGGCCAGAGGCAGGTATGAGGGAGAGGCTTGTTCCACCGAGGCTGTGCCAAGTGCCACCTAAATCCAGCCCCAGCGCCTTGCACCAGCGAAGCCCCTGGCGCCAAGCGGTGTTGCTTCAGCTGCTAGTAGTTAACGCTCCTTCGCTTGGAAACAGTTCAGCTCCTGGGAGCAATATGGTGCCGCGCGGGCTCACTGTTACCCTCTCTCTGCGACTGGCATCTCCGTTCATCCGACGCCCACCCCAGCTCACCATCCCTCAAGGGTCACCAGGCTGCGGGCCCAGGGAGCGGGGGTGCGGGCAGAGGACCGGGTAGGGAGCGGGGGACTTTCTGGGACTGGGCCCTGCAGGGTCCTGGCTGGCAGCCGCGTTCGCCGCGGCCCAGGACCCCCAGGTGGAGAGAGGAAGGGAAGGTACCGACTTTGGAGTGCTCGGCCCGGAGGACGAAGCCGGGCTGAGGGCCCCGGGTGAGGGGCCGCTTCAGGTGCGGGCCTAGCGGGGTCCCGTCCCGCCGCAGGGGGGTCTCGCAGCGCGCCGCCCTCCAGGGCTCGGTGGGGCGTGGTGCGCCCAGCCCGTCGGGGCGGAGGGCGCTGCGGCGGCCGGCCTCCCGGGAAGTGGGGCCCGGCCCAGCCCAGCGCCGAGGGTGCAGCCCCCGCCCCGGCCCCGGGAGCAGCCCTGCGCTGTGTCCGGAGGAGGCCGGCGTCCAGCAGATGCACGCGGGGGTGGCGGGCGGGCGGGGGAGGCGGGGAGGCGGGAACCCACAGCTCCACTTGCCCCGCGGCGAGCGCGCGGCTCCACTTGAATGGCAGGAGCCCGCGTCCGCGGAGCGCAGCCGAGACTCTGCGCGGCGGGTTCGGCCTTTGGGGCGCGGCGCGGCGCTCCGCGCAGCAGGTACGGGGCGCGGGCTGCCGGGCGGGCGGGCGGGCGAGGGCCGCCGACGCTTCCCGCCACCTTCCGACGGCCCGGGAGCTGCCCTGCGGTCGGACGCCGCCCCGAGGGCGCGGCGGAAGAGCGCCCCCGGGGTGGCCGCCCTGGTACCAGGAGGACCGGCACAGGGTCCTGCCCTCCTCTCTGGCCGGAGGCCGGCCCCAGCCTCCAGGATCCCCTCCCCCGCCGCGCGCATCTGGGAAGAATCAGAGCAGAGTGGGGGACAAGTGAGGAGGAGTGTGAGCTGGCGGCCCGAAGATGGGGCAGGTGGGCCCAGGGAGGGGTGTGGACCCCTGTGCATACAGCCCAGGCCTGGAGTGTCCCGCCACTTCCCAGGGAGTCCAGCCTCCGATTTCTTGACAGGGGACTGAGGCCTTGAGAGGGTCAGAGACTTCTCCTAGGGCGCGGGACAGGTGAGGCGCACTCCACTCCGTCCGCTTCCGACAAGGTCTGTGCTCCCTCAGCCAGAGCCCTCAGCTGGCCGCCTGGAGTCCCTCTGTCTGTCTGGGTGGCTGTTTCAGGCAGAACAGCTGGACAGAGGAAGAGGGGAGGGCAGGAAGCCAGGTTTGCCTTCTCCTGCTACAGTAGTGGGCACCAGGTGTAGGTGCCCAATCCACCCGGCCACCTCCAGCCTGGCTTGGGGTGGGGTGGGGTGCGGTGAGCTCCTGGCATTGGAAAACCTGGTTGTGTCAGGTGGAAGAGAGCTGCTGGCTGGGTCGGGGCTAGGGCTCGGGCTGGGGCGGGAGGCCTCTGGAGAGCAGCCGCCTCCAAGAAAGGAGCACTGGCTGCCTGAGCGTGCATGGAAGGGGAGGCTGAAGCCTGCCCCGCTTCAGGAGGTGTGAACTGTGGGAGCCCTGCGCGGCTCTGTTTCCAACCTGCTTCTACGGTAACCTTTGGCTCTGCGAAGTCAGGAAGGGCTGGACTTGATTCCTGGGCTCCCAGTGCTCCCAGGCAGAAGGGCCCCAGCCAGTGTCTGCTCTGGGGCTTCTGGCCTCTGTGTCAGTTATTTAGACTCAGAGCCCACTCTGCTTGTAGCCTAGAGTGTGGAAGTATCAGACTCACAAGACTGTTTTCACTCACTCTAGTGAGAGGATGGTTTGTTTCTGCTCTCTGAATCCTGGGTGGTGTAGCTAATGGTGGCACTGTTAGGCCTTCGGGCCAGGGCATGTACACCTGCTCAGAACCCTTGATGGCTGCTGTCACCAGCACCAACACCTCTGCACGGTGGTCAGTGCCTTTAGCAAACTGTGCTTCTGGCTGTAACCTCCCTTCCCTGTTTTCCCTCAGTAAACACACCTCCTCTTGCCCTCCTCCCCGTCCACCCTGGGGCCTCTGCTGGCCGCCCTCCAGCTGCCTGGCATACCTTTCCTCCCCTTCGACTTGGAGGTCTACACAGCCTTCAAGACCAACTCAAGGCTCTGGGCAGAAGACAGATCTGGGATCAGATACTAGTGCAGACCTTTTCCAGCCCTTGCTTTCACAAAGTCACTCATTCATTCAGCAAACATCCGGAGTGCTCCCTTAGCTGCATGCCTAAGAGGTAAGGGAGGCTCCCTGAGCTCGAAGGACGCGTGGGGGTGGGGCGTCCACAGTGGGTGCCAAGGAGCACCACACTCCTGCTGAAGGAGAAGGCAAGGCTCCCCAGAGCTGGGGTGCCTAAGGAGGGACAGGCAGCTGGGGTGGGAGGCTCTGTGTTCACATTCCGAACCTACAAACTGGAAGACAGACCTTTAATCCTGGGATTTCTATTGGCATCATCAGTATATAGCAGTGTGTGACCCGCTCAGGGTGGGCATCAGTGAATTTTTCTTGAACTCGAGAGGAGGAGGAAAGTGGTGCCGGGAGCTGCAGGTCTGCCCCCTAATTTGAGTTTTCCCTTCCTCCTGCCTTAATTCCCCGTTGGGGTCCTGGTTACTTTCTCAGTAAGGGTAGCCCTGAGTATGGGCTGGATCCATCTTTTCATTTAACCCTTGTGAGTAGTGGCTAACTAGTGAACAGAGGCTCCAGGAGAGGGAGCAACTCCATTCTTCCAGGCTTAAACAGCAGTCAGCATTGGAACTCAGCTCTCTGTCTGAGGCAGAGGAAGCTGTCCCAGTGTTCCAAGGATTTGAGTCACGCTCACTCGGTAGCTCCCGGAGACCAGAGCCTGCTTCCCTGCTGATTTCCCCACACACTTCCCACATGTCTGGACACGTGGGAGGATCCTGGAAGCTTATCTTGCTCGACAGTCTTATAAGAGCAAAAGGGTAAATTGAGACTCAGGTGGCGCAGTGGCATGGCCAGAGTCACAGCAAATCCCATAGGAGAGCTATCATGTCTGAGAAGGCTGGGGGACAGGGAGGAGTCCTTGGGGCCACCATTCCCTCGAGTCGAGTCCCACCTCTTCATCCCTACAGCCCAGCACCTCTCTGCCCCAGGCAAGCTCATTATTTCTCACCTGTGCATTGTACAGCCTTGCAGGCCACCCCTGCATGCCTGCCTGTTACACTCACACTCCTCAGGCCTGCCTATTCCCTGAGACAAGGCTGACACTCTCTGGCCTTGCATGGCCTGAGCTGTGTCTGCTGTGTCTGCTGTTACCCTGTGCTGCCCTCACATGCCACCAGCCAGCCTCGTGTGCTTCCTAGAGTTCACAGCTCTTGCCTGAGCGGCACACTGACCCCCACCCCGACCTCCTATTACTGGAATCTTCTGGGCTTGTGTTCTGGGACTGCTCATAGGAATATGTGTTTAGATAGGGTATCTGCATGCAGACGGGGAGGCTGAGGCTCAGTGGGGTCAGAGTTGCCACGTGGTAGAGATGGGATGCAAGCTGGGCTATAGGGCTCAGAGTGACAACTCACCATGTCCCAGAAATGTTATCTAAGTCTCTGGAAGAAGAACTCAGCCCCAACCCTGAGCCACGCCTAGGCCTGTGGGACTGCTGGGACAGTGTCTCCCCAGCATCTTCCTTAGGCAACATCTTCCTCCTGCTGTAGCTGGGGACCATGCTGGGGAGTGGCCTTCTTCAGATGGCAGCTGTCATGTGAACACATTAGGAGTGGCTGAGCATGTGGACACCAGGAATGGGATGTGAGAGGTCAGGGGGGCCTCCTCTGCTAGGTTTGGCCTATGCCCAAACACCCAAAATGCTCACAGCCCTGAGTATGAATGACACCCCTGAGCATTCACAGTCCAAATGACACTGAGCCCTGAGCCATCTCAGAACCTTCCCTGTGTCGTAGCCCTGGAGATGGTTCCCAGAAAAGATGCTGTGGATTGCGTGTGAGAGCAGAAGAGCAGAAGGAGCAGCCTGTGCCAAGGCATGGAGGGGACACCCACTGTCCTGCAAAGGGAGTGGCTGGAGAGTGCAGTTGACAGTCTGTGGATCCCACAGTAGCAAGCTGAAGTGCTGGGACACACCTGCTGGTGCTGACCCTGCCTGGTCTGTGGGTACCAGGGGAGAGACAAGGATTCCCTTCACTACCTGTACTAGGCCGCAGGAGCTCAGCCATGTCCAAGTCCTGCCGTGGCTTCCCCATTCTGTGAAATGAGACCCAGCCTGGAAAGTACTGTGGAAGGTTCTGCAGACCTACCTAAAGAGTAGGTTTCACCCCACCCTCCAGAAGGCAGTCTTGCTGGGGGTGCAGGGTATACACAAGTCAGCAGGCCAGCAGAGTACCAAGGTTGGGTCCCGAGTGTGTGCTGCCTGTGCCCTGCAGGCCCGGTCATGACTTTTGAAGGTCCTAGCCATGTGCCCAATGTTCCTAAAAGGTAAGTTGGCCCTGGTGCCAGGGAGACCTGACTGGACCCTCCTGCAGGCACCATGGCCCGGAGCAGGGCACTGCTGCTGCTCCTGTTGCTGCCACCACAGCTGTACCTGGGACCTGTGATCGCTGTGAGGCCCTTGGAGTTTGGACAAAGTGGCACCCACAGCCCAAGCCCTGAGGAGAACGAGTTTGTGGAGGAGGAGCCTGTCCTGGTCCTGAGCCCTGAGGTGCCAAGGCCCAGCCCTGCCACCATCAACTGCCCCCGGGACTGCGCCTGCTCCCAGGAGGGGGTCGTGGACTGTGGCGGCATTGACCTGCGTGAGTTCCCAGGGGACCTACCTGAGCACACCAATCACCTGTCCCTGCAGGTGAGGCTGATGTTGCGCCAGCGGTCACCAGGGGCTGCTCCCTGCACTCGAGGCTGCTTCCCAGAACCCTCCCTGTTCACCGGAGCCTCCAGGACTTGTGCCCTTTCATCCCCATGTCAGGGTGTTGAGCAGGTTTAATCTGAGGAGTCCTGTTTGAAATCTGGGCACAGAGCACTGAGACAACATAGTCTGCTTATTCACCAAGAGGGGCCAGGCTCAGTCTAATGATGGACATTGATAGGCCTGCTGATAGCTGACCCTCTTTCTGGATGTACAGTAGGGTACAGAGCCAGGAAAACAAAGCTAACTGACTGGCTCAAGTGCTTGGGGACTTCAAGCACAGAGAACCCTCCCTTCAAGCAGTGGGCCTGGCCTCCCAGACTGGGTGGACTATGGAACATCCAGGGAAGCTCTGGGCAATCCTCAGGGTCCTCAGGGAGGGAGAAGGCCTGCCTTACCCTTCCAGAGAAGATCAAGTCCAGTGACCCTCCAAAGGTCACACAGCACTGGCTGGGAGCCTGGGCTGGGTTGACCTATAACAGGAAGGGACAAGTCGAGGATAGCAATGATGAAGTTCATTGGCCCACATATTTATACAGCAGCCGAACCCTTGGACACCTGTCCTATGCCCACACTCCTATGTGAGGTGCTGGGGATGCAGGGAGGACTTGGACACACCCTGCCCATCAGGTGCTTCCAGTCCATGGGTGTCATGTGTAGGCTCCTTGAAGACAGGACTCAGGTCTATGGGCCACTGCTGTGTGCCCAGTATCCAGGGTCTGATTCTTATGGAGCAGAATCCCCGAGGCAGGTACCCAAGCCAGCGATAAGTCCCTAGGCCAGGTGCTGAGGACAGCTGTACCCCTCCCACCTCCTGCTGATGCTGCTTCCTCGTTGCTCTAGAACAACCAGCTAGAGAAGATCTACCCTGAGGAACTCTCTCGGCTGCAGTGGCTAGAGACTCTGAACCTCCAGAACAACCGCCTGACCTCTCGAGGTGAGGGGTCACCAGAGATAGGGGATACCAGGTAGACTGAATGGTGCCAGGCATGCGGGGGACCCTTGGCTCTGTAGATCCTGGCTGTGGGCAGAGCAGGCCCGAGCTGGCTGGCCAGGGGCTGCAGGAGGACTGGCTCTACACCCAGCAGGGGTTCTCCAAGGCCCCAGACTTTACTATAGAGGGTTCAGGTCACAGGGGCCTTTAGAATCAGACAGCTGGAGGCCTCAAACTTAAAATTTTTTCTGATGGCAAAAATAGTATACAATTAAGCTAGAAAATTGGGAAAATAAAATGGAAAGAAAAAAACTCACAGTGTCGCCACTTTGAATTAGTCACTAATGACATTTCGGTATATTATTTTCCATTTTTTTTTTTAGAATAAAAGTTTTATTGAGGTGTAACTTACATTAGCATTTGATGAGTTCTAGTAAGTTTATGCGGTTATACAGCCACTGTCATGCTAATTCAATCCAGTCCCTTTTTTCTTAGTAGCTTTACACGCACAGCTGAACTCATCCCCAGCCTGATAACCAGCCTGGTTTTGCTAAGCAGTTCACTCCTGGCATCCCTGGTGTTGGGAAAGCTCTCATTGGCTGTCATTTTACACCCTGCAGCAGGGTAGCCAATGCAGGGAGGCTGCTTGGTTTATGTAACTGTCCCTGCTCCTTAGAAACTTGGCTGGCTTCCAGCATCTGGGGTCTAGAAGCCCGGAACTAAGTGTCAGAGGTGCCTCATCTCTGAAGAGGGGCCATCCTGTGACATCTTTCCAGAGCACCAGGGCAGAGCCAGGTGGTGGGGAACCCAGCTCAGCTCCACCCGCCAGTGGATGGGCCTAGGGTGGAGGGGAGCTCTGACCCCGCAGCAGCCCTCAGGAGAGCACTCCTTCCAGGCGGAAGGGTCAGGCGGGGTGGCTCGGTCCCTCAGCAGACATTTAACCACTCGCGCCTGCATGGGACCACGTGAGCAAGGAGAAGGAACACAGAGCTGGACGGGGCCATCTGGACCAGCTGGGAAGGGGTTCAAGCTGCCCTGCCTGCTCCTCTGGCAAGTGGCCTGGGGTGGGGGTGGGGTGGCTCTTGTGCTCCCCTGTAGCGTCTTCTTCATCCAGGGCTCTGGCCTGTCCTTTGAAGGGCTCCCCGAGGAGGCGTTTGAGCACCTGACCAACCTCAATTACCTGTACCTGGCCAATAACAAGGTGAGGGCTGCAGAAGGTAGAGCGTGCTGGCCTGTCCTCCAGTTCGGTCTTCCCCAGAATTCTGTGCTCTTCTGCCAGCTGTTTCTGGTCTGTCAGGTGCTGGGTGCTGCTCAGAGATGACCCTGGGAGATGGGAAGCAGTCATGGACTTCTGCCCTGTAACCCAGCCCTGTAACCCTGTAGGATAAAAGCACCTAAGCTCCAAATATTTCGTATGTCCCAAATCCCCATCCCAGCCTCATCTCTGAATGTTCCTGAAGCGCCCACCAGACTCAGAGCCGTGAGCACCAAGCCATGTCCCAGGCAGCCTCTACCCTGCCCAGAGGGCTTAAGAGGCAAAGATCTACCTGCCTTCTCGATATCTCCTCTAGGTATCTGTGAAAGGGACGTTACTGATTGCAGCCCCCAAGCCGCCAGCTCCCCATCTTTGTGAAGGGCACCTCCACCACCCATAGCGCCGCTTGTGTGAGCCACAGATCAGGAGTCTCCCAGCCCCCGAGTCTCCCTCACCATGTCCACCCCTCCGCTGCCCACAGGCACAGGTCCACCACCTACCACCTAGTACCCTTCTGCCTCGTTTTCTCCCCCTTTCTCCTCAGAGGAGCCAGAAAGGCCTTTAAATCATGCCCTGCTTCTCCCCCTCTACTGTGTACCCCACTCCAGGATGTGCCTGGTGGGGGGAAGCAGGTGTGGAGCGCCTCTTCGGCTAAGCTAAGGGCTGGGGGAGCTGGAGATGGTTTTGCTGTCAGGAAGTGGGACAGGTTTCCACTTTAGAAAGATGGTCTGGTTACCAGAAAGAAAGAAGTAAAGGGGTGCAGAGGAGCAGCTAGCAGGGGACTTCAGAGCTGGCCTCTGTCCTTCATTGATCTTCACGCCTGACTCTTCCCTTTCCAGCTGACCTTGGCACCCCGATTCCTGCCAAATGCCCTGATCAGTGTGGATTTTGCTGCCAATTATCTCACCAAGATTTATGGGCTCACCTTTGGTCAGAAGCCAAATCTGAGGTCAGAAGGATGGTCCTGGGCTTGGTGGGGGAGGGTAAGGGGATGAGGTAGAGCCGCCCCTCTTGTGGGAGCACAGACAAGCTGCCAGGCAGGGTTCGCTGTGCAGGGGGCAACAAGGTCTGGGGCTCTGGTGGAGAGGCACCTGGGCTCAGGAGGAGCTTGAGACTAGATGTGAGAGGACTCAGTCCAGGAGGAAAGAATGGCGAGCATTTTGTGTGGGACGGGCTGGGGCTGGGCCTGCAGCGTGCCCTTCAGTGGTGCCCTTCCCTGGGCCTGGTGAGGAGGAGGCTGGGCTGGGGGTCAGGAACTCCTTCCTCTGCCACTGGCTGGTAGAGGGACTGACCTGGTCGCTGGCCTCTGGCTGTGGAAATGGAGTCGGAGGCTCTTTAACTCTGCACCCTTGGGTTAAGATGGCAGGAGAGAGTCCTGGGCCCCAGTCTCAGCCTGATCAAAGATTTAGGGCTTCCTAGAAGCTGGCCTAGGGGCTGGGGGAGCTGAGGTGGATGAGAACCTGTGCCTTAAATGCAGGTCTGTGTATCTGCACAACAACAAGCTGGCAGATGCTGGGCTGCCAGACAACATGTTCAACGGCTCCGGCAACGTTGAGATCCTCATCCTGTCCAGCAACTTCCTGCGCCACGTGCCCAAGCACCTGCCTCCCGCCCTGTACAAGCTGCACCTCAAGGTGGGGAGAGACGCAGCAGAGACAGCAGAGTGACCCCGCTGCAGGGAGAGGCAGCCAGCCCACACAGGCACAGTGTTGCCATGGGAGGCTGCGAGGCTGTGGCGTGTGCCACATCCCAAGCCCACTGTGGGGACACGGGCTGGAGACTGGGCACCAGGCTCTAGGTCTGAGTCCCTTTCCAGGGGTTCCTCAGGCTCCTCTCTGTACCTCACCCCGAGGCCCTGGGCTTGCCTCTGCCTCTCCCTCACACTCTGCTCCCTGCTTTTCCACTCCTAGAATAATAAGCTGGAGAAGATCCCACCTGGGGCCTTCAGCGAGCTGAGCAACCTGCGCGAGCTGTACCTGCAGAACAACTACCTAACTGATGAGGGCCTGGACAATGAAACCTTCTGGTGGGTGGGTCCCCACCTCCCCACAGCCCCGGCAGGCCTCACCCTGGCACTCAGCAGGCTCCTCCCAGGGCCTCCCCAGCCAGCCATGGTCACACATACCTCCCATCTCCCCTGGCCACGCTCCTTGGAAGATTTTGAGGCTCATGCTTCTGTTGACATTTCTGTCTCCAAGAATAAGTGGCTACTGAGATGGCAGGGAGTCAAGTGCTGCCGGCAAATTCAAGTATTCTTGCTGAGGGCAAATATGTTTTCAGTTTAGGGGCCCAACATAGCCACAAAAGGCTAATGTTCAGTGATGGTCTTCAGATAAATCCCCACAAGTCAGAAATGATGCAAAATCCTTCCTGCACTAATGCATAAAGTATGCTTGAAAACTGGCTAATGTTTAAATTTTAAACATCTACCACAGCATAAGATACATTGCCATTAATTCTCAACATTCCCTCCTCGCTTCAAACCCATTTATCCCGCCATTCTTGCCATTTTCAAAAGCAGTTCTCAGCATCCTTCTTCCTGAGTGTCTTTCATTGTGCTGTTGGCTGCCTCAAATCCTGGACCAATTCAAAATGTTTGCCTTTTGTGGTCATTTTGACTTTGGGGAGAGACCAGAAGTCACATGGTGCCAGACCTCATGGATAGACGAGGTCTCACTGTGGTGGTTTCGTGAGCTGCCTTTCTGTCGGATGGCAGCTGGCAGCAGCATTCATTGTAGTTTTTGATCACATCTCTTAACGACACAGAAAAGGGGACTCTAGACTGCTTCCAAAAGTGGCAAGAATGATATGGGATAAGTGTGCTGGGGATGGTCGATGGCCAAGTATTTTTTCACCGTAAGAAAATTTTTATCATTGAAAATTCCCCATATATTTTGGCCACGTTGCATGTCCTTGAGTCAACCCAGAGGGAGGCTGTGGGAGGCCCCAAGGGAGGAGTGACAGCTTGGTGATCTCAAGGGAGTCTCTGTGGGTTCCCTCGGGAATTATGGTGGGAATGGCAAATGTGGGCTCTGCCCATGTCCTAATCTAATTCCCCATCCTGCTCCCACTCCCAGGAAGCTCTCCAGCCTGGAGTACCTGGATCTGTCCAGCAACAACCTGTCGCGGGTCCCGGTGGGGCTGCCGCGGAGTCTGGTCCTGCTGCATCTGGAGAAGAACGCCATCCGGAGGGTGGACGCCGACGTGCTGACCCCCATCCGCAGCCTCGAGTACCTGCTGCTGCATAGCAACCAGCTGCGGGCCGATGGCATCCACCCGCTGGCCTTCCAGGGCCTCAAGCGGCTGCACACGGTGCACCTGTACAACAACGCGCTCGAGCGCGTGCCCAGGGGCCTGCCCCGCCGTGTGCGCACCCTCATGATCCTGCACAACCAGATCACGGGCATCGGCCGCGAGGACTTTGCCACCACCTACTTCCTAGAGGAGCTCAACCTCAGCTACAACCGCATCACCCGCCCGCAGGTGCACCGTGACGCCTTCCGCAAGCTGCGCCTCCTGCGCTCACTAGACCTGTCCGGCAACCGCCTGCACACGCTGCCCCCGGGACTGCCCCGCAACGTGCACGTGCTGAAGGTCAAGCGCAACGAGCTGGCAGCCCTAGCGCGAGGGGCACTGGCGGGCATGGCCCAGCTGCGAGAGCTCTACCTCACCAGCAACCACCTGCGCAGTCGCGCCCTGGGCCCCCGCGCTTGGGCAGACCTCGCCCACCTGCAGGTAAAGGATGCTACTGGTGTGGCTTCCCTGAGCCACTCATCTGCTGGGACCCCGTGAAGGCTAGGCGTAGAGGAGGTTCCTTTGGGACAGCCAGACTGGGCTCATGTGGCTAGTGTGAGCCCAGACCCCTGCGGACATATGAATGGAGGAAGGGCTCCGGAGTGTCTGACTGCACAGGCAGATGCACACTGAGAGGGTGTGGAGGTAGGTCATAGCTGCAGATGGTGGCCCATGGTTCAGGAAGACTGGAGGGCACTTTGGGGGTGGGGCATGAGCAAGTGAGGTTTACCCACGGGCAGGGACAGGTGCTTGCAGGAGGCTGAGCCTGGGGTAGAGGTTTGGAGATGAGCTGTGGCCTCACCAGTCTTCAGAGGGCTGAGGGTTTGGTAGGGGTCTGTCCAAGGCATTCTGAAGCTGTTCAGGAGTGGTGCCTGCTGCGACCATGTGGTCAGAGTCAGGCAGAGTTGTCTGGGCATGAGTCAAGGCTCCAGGTAACCAGTGACACACACCCAGCCCCAGTGAGCATGGTTAGAGGGGAGTCCTTGGAGAACTGGGATGGAGGGCAGAAGTCCTGCTCCTGGCCTGCCACGGCCCTTCCGCTGCCTGGCCAGAGCCACCCTTCACAGCACAGGCTCAGGGCCTCCGTGTCGCTGTCCCTTCTGCCCCAGGCATCCTCAGGCTTTCTCCGCTCTTTTTCTGAGGGTCGCTCCGCACTGTCTCCTTGGACAGTCTTCCTCTGCCACTCTTCTTCGCCAGCTTCATTGCTCCAGACTCAGTCATCTCAGTGGTGCTGTCTGCCCCTCAGTGAGGACAGACATGCCAGTCCACTGTGTCTGTGGCTGTCCGTGACAAGCTCACGGCCACTGCATGTGAAAGGATGACAGGAAGAGCCACCCGATGCCACCGAAGTACTGTCAGCACTAGGATGTCTGGTGGGATATGGGATGCAGCGGGCGAGGCAGCTGGTCCTGCAAATTAGCTGGGTCTCTCCTCATCCAGATGGCCTTGCCAAGACAGGATCCAGCTTCCTGGGCCACCTCTGGGCTAATCCTCAGGAGCCAGTTCTTGAGGGCCCAGAGCCTCTCATGTTCTCCACTAAAGAGGCTCTTTTCCCATCCTCATTGTGGTCCAGGAAGTTCGTATTTGTAATCCCATGGAGACATTGCAGAATTCTGGCGAGTTCATTCCAACACACAACCTTCAGTGCACCCTGCTGCAAGAATAAAGACACTAAGACATGTTTGTAGTTGTGGGCAGCCAAGAGGTCCTGAGTCAGTCCAGATGAGAATTCATAGAACAGGGGCCTCGACCCAGGGCCTGGCATGGATTTTACCAGTTTGTGAGAAAGGGAGTGGCTAGAGGATGAGTAACTGGGAGAACGGTGGGAATTACATGAGCACTGTGGGCTGGGCTAGCTAGGAGGCCAGAAAGCACCTCTGCAATATGCAGAGAGAAGGATGAGCAGAAAGACCAAACTGCATAATGCAGTTGAGGTAGCATGATTCTGATGTGCCAACCTTTTCTGCCCTCAAGACAAGAATATTGAACCCAGTTGACAGCCCTAGAGGGTTGGCTCTGCATTCCACTGGGCTCAACCATTCAGGAAGACACTGAGGCAGGGGAATAATGACTGTCAGCTGTCATCTGGCTTCTAAGATCACACACCAGCCCCTCAGCTGGCCTATTTACACTGCTTACAGCCAATTGAAGAGAAAAGGAAATGGCTCAGCCAGCTCTGCACATATCAGCACATGGAGACAGGGCCAGGTTTAGGTAATGGGAGGGGAGGTAATGGCTCTGCATTCAAGGAGAGCCATCTGCAGTCCACAGCTGTTCCTCCTGCTGCATTTTCCTGCTCACTGAAGGGACAGGGAGGCATCGAGGGAAACCTGGGAGCTGCCTGTTCACTGCCACCCGCCTCCGTGGCTCCCCAGAACCTGCCCCACTGTGCTGCCCCCACACCTCTTAGTCTGCCTGCTCTCCAGCCTGCCGCCCACACCCCAGATCAAGCCACCCATTTCTTGCCTGGACCCCAGCTTCCCAAGAACTTGTAATCTGCATGCCATCCAGACAATCTTGGCAGCTTCATGTGCTCTCATGCTCCTGCTCTGATTCCTTATCCTCCTGCCACAGCACTCTCAGGATGGGGACCCTTCCTCTACTGCGGCTTTGTTCACAAGCAGCTGTTCCTGATGCCTTGGAGCCGCCGTGTGCTGCGTCACAGCTGGTTCACCTACTTGTCCTTGTCAGTCTGGCTTTCTGAGGTGGAAGCCTGTCTCAGTGGAACCCGTGTCCCCTACATCCAGGGACATTTGGGATGCAAGAGGAAGTGCTGTGGGATGCAGGGGACACCAGGAAGCCTAAGTTAGGGGAGGTTACAGAGAGGCCCCCTAAAGTCCATGAAGCCATGCTCCCCTTCAGTCCTGGACCATCTTGCCCAGCTATCCAGCTTCTGTGCTCCAGCTTCCTGACCCTGACTTCTGCCAGAGGGAGCTTAGGGGCTGCAGGACTGTGTCTGCCTGGTCATTCTGCAGGTGTGTTTTGCTCCTATGGAGCCCAATGCACTCCCTGGTTGCTGGTTCCTGGGTGCCAGGTGCACGGTGACTCTGAGCTGACCACTGTGGGCCTGGTCATTGTGCCAGGGTCACTACTGGCTTTGTATCTTCAATTCTGACCCCAGCAGATGTGGGCCTTAAGGTCTATCATTGACCAGTCCTTCCTCCCTCCACACATCTCTTGCCTCCCCCACCCTTGTCAATGGGACAAGATTCAAAAGCTGGAGGATCCCCAGTCTCTGACTGTACTAGGTCCTTGTCTGATGGGAGTGATGGGTGTGTTCAGACACCCTGACTTTATGTGCAAAGGCACAAGGGGCTGGGAAGGACCCGTATGAATCCTAATAAATTTTGGATTCAGGTACACCAGGTTCCGGCCTCGTAGAGGCTGTGTGACCTGTACACTTAGCCTCCCTGAGCTTCTGTTTCTCCATGTAGAAAATGAGGATCATTTAGACTCCTCTCCTCAGCAGGGTTATTTGATCTAGATAGGCTGGGGTCTTGGGGAGAGTTTTGTAAGCTGTTGAATGCTTTGCTCAAGTGGAAGCCCCTGAGTCACCTGGTCCCTTCTGCAGCTACTGGACATCGCTGGGAACCAGCTCACGGAGATCCCTGAAGGGCTCCCTGCATCGCTTGAATACTTGTACCTGCAGAACAACAAGATCAGCACCGTGCCTGCCAATGCCTTCGACTCCACACCCAATCTCAAGGGAATCTTTCTCAGGTAGGAAGCCCCTCATGGGCCTTCGTGCACCCCCGAAGAGCCTGCCCAACTCCAGTGGGACACTCAAGGCTACAGGAACAGCCTGGGGTCAGTGCAGGTAGCCTGGCTTCATTACCGCCTGGCTGTGGGCTATGCATCAATCCGAACATGCCAGTTTCTGCTGTCTCAGCCTTCAAAGGTGGGGACAGCCCTGGCCAGGCCTGATGTTTGTAGATTTGTAAAGAAGCCTCTGCAACTTTAAGAAGCAGTACATTTGGGGTATTATTGATGCATATGTGGCAGGAAGGAACCTCAGAGAGCATCTTCCTCATTTACAGCGAGAAGAACTAAGGCCCGAAGAGCATGGTCTGAGAGTGGGAGAGATCGGGGGGGGGGGGCTGAAATGATTTAGAGACCCAGCCCCAGGGGATCCTGGCCCTCCCATCAGAGCAGCATGGTTCTTTTCAATGCTCCCTGTACCCACCAAGTTAGCAAACATAATGACAAGCTGAAGGCCAGTGCTTGGGAACATAGGGTAGTGTGACATGTGCTCTGGCCGGCTTGACATCAGAGCCATGGCCCCTGCTAGCCCTCCCTGAGCATATCCCTTGCCCAGCTCAGCTGTGGCCCTGTCTGGGTGCCACCTAAGACCTTGGAGTTAGAACCTCAGAGGAGGCAGGAAGGAGGCTCCCATGTCTGCCAGTCCTAAAATTCTCAGTGAGAATGTGCGCAGAGCGAGACTTCCTTTCACTTTATAGATGACCAGCCCAGAGCCCGCGCCTGCTCCCAAGCTGCTGTTTCTATCCTGAGAAACTTACACTTCCCACCTTGCACCACACTTCTGAACCCCACCTTTTCATCTCGCTGTGTCACCCCAGAGGGCTGCCTGCCTCCAATGGCCCTCTGAGATGGATAGGCACGGGACCCTGAGCCTGGGCGCCTGCACTGACCCTGGTTTGGATGGCTGCCCAGGTTTAACAAGCTGGCCGTGGGCTCTGTGGTGGAAAGTGCCTTCCGGAGGCTGAAGCACCTGCAGGTCTTGGACATTGAAGGCACCATTGAGTTTGGTGATACTTCCAAGGACCGCGGCCGCTTGGAGAAAGAAGAGGAGGAGGAAGAAGAGGAAGAGGACGAGGAAGAGGAAATGAGATAGTGACAGATCTGACCGAGGTAGGTGGCCTATGTGGGGGTGCTGTGCACTGCTCTTTGCCACTGTCTTGCCCCTGACCCGTTCTTGGGTCCTTCTGTCCACTCTTCACCTTCCCCTCTTTATCCCTTCATTTTCAGTCTCCTGTGTTGGGTTTGCATATGGGAGGTGCCTGGGCCTGGGTGAGGGGTTGAAATAGAACAGAAACCCTAGAGACTGGTTGTGCCAGGGCAGTGTCATCCAGGGTGATACAGGAGCAGATGGGTTGGGCCCATGGGTCGAGTTCTCAGGCAGGATGTCTGTGCTGGCACTGGTGAGCCAGGCACTGTCAGCCTTGAGACAGGTGCTGAAGCTGCTCAGCATCGCTCACGGTGAGGAGGGCGGGCCCTGCAGAGGAGACTGAGCTGGGGCACTCAGGACAGCAGGGGTGGGGCTGGGAGACAGGGCTTTGCACCTTCCTGTAACATAGGCGCTGTGCACAAGTGCATGCACCAACACACTTGTCTAAGTATGCACATACTGTCACAAAGCACACACCTACAGAACACACACTGTACACACACACAATGCACAGGCACCACCTATGGTATGCCTGCTTGTAAGCATACCATGCACACACAGGCCTTCACAGGTGGGCACACATGTGCGTGCGTGCATGGTGTGTTTATGCATAAGCTTTCCAGAAGCAGGGATTCAGCAGTGTCTGTACTACCCAGGGCCCACTGCATTTATCCACGTGCTGTCATCTGTGTCTTCATGGGGAGAAGGGCAAGATGAGAGTGGCTGGAAGGGAGTAGATGCCTTTTCTGGAGAGGTCAGCAGTGAAGAGGAGGGGCGAGGGGGCAGAAGCGGGGAGGCTTCTCTGATTGCTGCTTGATGCTTCCTGCAGGGATGGAGCCGGTGCACTCTGACTTGGGTTGGGCGAGGCGGCTGTGGGAACCGTAGGAGGCCATGCTCTCCACGGTAGGAAGGCTGGAGGGCCCAGTGGCTGCAGTCACAGGCAGCTTAGTGACTTGGTGGCTGGATCTGAAGTCACGTCAGCCTTCTGACGTCAGGTTTCCCCTGCGCAGTAGGAGGTGCTTAGCAGGCCATGGCGTGGGGAGGAGATGGGTCAGGAAATCTATCATGGCTGGGGTGTGGGACCAAGAGAGGTACTAGATAAGGAGGAAAAGGAGCAAGGAAGTCAACTCCATTGAGAAGAGGAGAGTGGAGGGCCGGGCTGGGTGGGGATGGAGGCATGGGGAGGGGATGGTGGGGCCTGGACACACTGTGGCCAGGAAGAGAGGGGGCCACAGGTGTCATCCGAGGTGAGCTAAGACTTGGCAGTGAGCTGTGCCAGAGGTCGCAGGGCAAGGGTATGGCTGTGAGAGGGGCCACCAGGGCACCATGAGGAGGTTGATTGAAATAGGGCCTGGGCAGAGAGGTAACTACAGCCTATGGATATACGTTAGCAGCTCTGTGAGTGGGTGACAGCAAGGGAGGGACATCCATGCTGATGGCAGCATGCATGACAGAGTTATCTGAGTGTTGAGGTCAGGCCCAGAGGAGTATTATGGAGTCCCCTTGTTCTGTTCTGGGAGTGGATTATGAGGTCGAGCCCCTTCTCAGGAGGCACCACCCTCACACTGAGCCAGGGGTCACCTACAGGGTGACTGCCATTCACTAAGGATTCCATGGATCAGGCATGGTGACACATACCTGTAATCTGAGCACTCAGGGGGCTGAGGCAGGAGGCTCATCGTGAGTTTGAAGCCAGCCTGGGCTTATAGTGTGTTCAAGGCTAACCTGAACTATCTAATGAGACCCTATATCAAAGAAAACAAGACAAAACAAAACAAAACACAGCCCCACTAAGATCTGCATGGTCCTCATAAGGGGACTGGAGTCCTGAGGTGGGAGACAATCTGCTCCCCTGGAGCACACCGGCTAACGTAAGGTTTGTTGTGAGGGCCCAGGGAGTGGCCAGAGAGACCCTAAGGCCATCCTTCCCATGTTGGCATGGGCACCCCTCCTGGGCACCAGGCTCCCGAGGCAGCTCCCCTCTCCACTTAAAGCAGCCTGGCCTTCCCAGCATCTCAAGTGGGAGCCTCTGGCCCCTGTCCCCAGGCGGCATGGGTGGTCCATTGCCCCGGTGGGCCCCTGACTCTCCTACATGTTCCACAGGATGATGAACCATGGACTCCTTTCTGCAGCACGTGCATTGTCCTGTGAGCCCTCATCTGCACACTCACACGGATGCACCCAGCACCAAAACCACGGACCACCCCGCCTGCCACAGGCTGAACGCATCTTGGGTCCACGCCTGTCCTACAATGTGTCCCTTGGCCAGACACATGCAGACACCATGTCACATTCCTACACACCCAGCTCAGGTGCACACACAGCCAGCTGCCATCACCCTCCAATGGATACACTCTCCAGCTGAGACCTATCATTGCAGCCATGCCTGCCATCTGAGTCACACAGACTCAGGCAGGCCTGTCCTTCCATGGCACATGTAGCACGCACACACACCAGTGCCACCAGCAGTTCTCGCCCCTAGCCAGACGTGGCCCATACTGCTCACCATTTGCCTGGTCCTCTGTCCATCCACTACCTGGAGAAGACACAGGATTATTTTTCTGCCTGTAGCCAGCTGCTTTCTGCTGTCTGGAACTCCCGAAAGATGGCTTTCATTCCTTTCCCTCCTCTGGGGACAGGAACCTCCTGGATTTCTGCCCCACCAGGTGCTGGGGCAGTCACTCTGCTGAGTGTCCCTCCCTGCTGTGCCCTGGCAAGCCACTGGCACTTTGGAAGGACAGTCCTCATGGAAGTGAGTGAGAGGCCTCCGGGCTGCTGCTGGGTGCCTGGCACAGAGGAGCCGAGGCTGTGAAGCTGGAGGACCAGGCCGGAAGGGCCAGGCTATAGCACAAGACGCTCAATACTTTGGGTCTGCAGGGAAGTTCTGGGTGCCTTTTTTTGTTTTTAGTTTTTAGTTTTTTTTTTTTTTTTTAAGAAAAGAATGATAAAAATCTCAAAGCTGACTTTTCTTGTTATAGAAAAACTAATATAAAAGCATTATCCCTACCCTTGCAGCTGGTGTGTCTGTGAGTACTTCCTGCCGGGCGCTGAGCTGGGTCTGCCTGGGGTGGGCAGGATACGAGTGCTGCTGAGCACTGCTAGACTAGCAGGAACCAGGGCAGAGTTCAGTGCTTGAGGTCCCTAAAGAAGCTATGTGGGCAGAAGCCTGGGCAGATGGGACGTGGTGGTAGCTCAGGAGGCCGAGAACTGTGTGTGGACCCTTAGGTGGGCAGGAATCAGCAGATGGGAGTGGGGCCACCACACCAGGCCTACAAGCCCAGCAAGACCTGCCAGTCATGGGCTGCTCCACACTCATCTGGAGAATCACCTTTTCACTACGGGGCTGTTACCAATGGGGTCTGTCCTGTGGAAGTAGGAGGGTGAGGCAGACCTAGGAGCTGGTGCAGAGCTGAGAAGGGGCACAGTCTCTAGGGGCAGGCCTTCCCAGAGGAGATGACAGACATGCCCAGTGTGCTCCCTCTGGGCCAGAGCTGGGCCTGGGCGAGGAAGCTGCAGGAGGTGGTACACAGTTCTAGGCGAAGAGACCTTTGCTGGACAGAGCTGCCTCACAATGCCCAGGAAGTGGTGACCTTCCTGCTGCTGGAGGAGTGTAAGCATACAGCTGTGAAGGCTGCTAAAGAACAGATTCATGCCTTGTAGTGGGGCTAACTCCGCTGCTTAAAAGCTGTTAGACCCAGGGAAGGGGCCAAAAGCCCATCCACACGAAGGTGGAAGTGACCGGCAGCCTGACATCTGGCCTCTCTTCGGTGGTGAGGCCTCTCAAATGGAAAGAAGTCTTGTGGTGGCCAGATAAGCCCCACCCCTGAAGTGACTGGACAACGTGGGGCCCAGGCCCTTCCTGGACTGGCACTCTGTCACACTAAGAGGCTGATGGATGTAGATCAGGAGCTAGGGTGGAAGCAGGTGCCTTCCTGACTCTCAGGGGGACCTCAGGAGGCTTGTCTCTCTGATGTCATATCTTCGTGAGTGTCATGGTGTATGACCCTCCTATGCCCTGGCCTCCTGCAGGCACCTAGGGCTAGGGGAGTCGGGGAGACACTGATGTCATGGATGTGTCCCTTCTATAAGGTGAAGCACTCACCAAAGGAGTAAGACTGGGAGATGTGTTCCCCTTGTGGTCCCCCTGCAGAGCACAGCCCTGGCCAGGGACACAGTGATCTGGCCAGGTAGCTGTCCCTGAATAAGGCCCTTGGACAACCAATCAGCACTCTGTCTTCTGTATGCAACAGCACAGATAGGGCTGTCTTCACTATGGCTGCCAGGACAAACTCTTCAGCATGCTGGCAGCCTCCATGGCCCAGAGTGTGGGCTCTCAGCAGATGAGACTTGGAAAACAAAAGATCTTTATTTAGTTGTCACAGAATTTTCAAACACAGAAAGGGATGGAAATTGTGACTCCACTTTGTCACATGGGCCTTTGGGGAGTTCCGACCCCAGCATGCCATCAGGACCTGCCTACCTATCCATAGGAAGCTGGCCTGGATATCCTCACCAGGCCCTTCTACGATCCCTGGAAAAGATGTCCATCCTTGCATCGGACAAGCTGTGTGAGACCTGCTAGTGGGCAGGGATGGGGCAGGCCATGGCACATGGAAGGCAGCAAGGAGGTCTCAGTCCAGGACAGGACCAGCCTTATGGACAGCTGTTTATCTGAGGCCTAATGCTATGGGGTGGGGTGGAGGCTGGCCAAGCCTGGACATGGCTGGGGCAGAAACCAGGATGCTGATACTATGTCCTCATAAATTAGAAGCAGTGGTGGCTACGGAGCCACTCTGCATCTGTCCCTGTGAGCCACTCTGTCCTACAGGAAGGAGTAGCCAGGGCTCATCCTAGCCCTGACATTGCTTGCTCAAGATTGTGGGCAAGTGCTCAAATCTGTGACCCAGAAAATGGGGACAACAGCCCCTACACCTGACTCCCACATAGGCTTGCAGGATAGCAACTCACAGCCAGGGTTTGGGCTCGGCAGGCCATCACTCTCCAGCTGGGGCTCCTGCATGCACCCTCTCCTCCCTAAAACCCTATTTCCCATCTCTGAGGCTAATTCCAGCCTCTCAGGGAGAGCAGAATGCAAGAGCCTGGTGCCTGCCAGCTCCTCAGCTGCATGGGCTGTGGGTCCAGCTCCTGCCCACGGGCTCAGACGTTGGTCTCCAGCTCACTGATCTCAATGGTGCAGTGGTCCAGGCTGGCCATGGCCAGGTCCTCATCCTGCTCTACCTGCACAGGGATGTGGTGGGGGCAGGCGGGACCAAGGGTCAGCTCTGAGGCCTCGGCCACACTCTTCACACAGCCATTCTGTTGGGTCGCCACGATCTCCTGAAGGCTCACCGGTTTGGTCTCACAGGGTGGCAGCTTCTGGAGAAGGGATGTGAGATTTGATAGCAGCAGGAGGGATTGAAGGTGATTGGAGCAAGTGAGCTTGGGGCTGGGAACCAAAAAAAGAGATTTTCCTACAGAAAATCTAGGTGACCCTGCAGGTCATAGGCCTCTTTGACACTGACTCCCCAAGCTGTCCTGGAGCCAACTGGACCTGTCTCAGTAGAAAAGGGGCCTGACCCACAGGTTATACCCGGGAATTGGTGGTTGTCCTGCCCAGGTCTCCACTTCTTCCCCATGAAGTAGGGGTGGCCTACACATGGCTACAGAGGAACCTGTGGAGACCCTCCAGCCCTATCCAACCGCCCAGACATGTAACAGCAGGACGGGGCCATCTTACACTAGGGGCTGAATCCCCCAGGGCAAGGGACTTTACAGTAGTTGCTACTACTTCTCCTGTCTGGATCAGAGCTGGTCCAGAGGAATTCCTCACCCTTTTAGGACCCCAAGGCCCAGAGGGATAGAGGGGTTGGCTGAATACTGCCCAGCGGTGGGTGAGAAGTCTGCACCCTTATGGTGGTCCCTGAGGGGGAGCCCTGTTCTTACCTCAGAGCCAGTGTCTCTAGCAAAGTCCTTTCGGCAAATGTGGGCCATGATCCCTGCAGCTAGCGCGTCACCCAGCACATTAATCATGGTGCGGAAACGGTCTCTGGCAAGCCAAGGTAGGCAGTAAATACAGGGAAAAATGCAGCTGGTAGAAACCATCCCCTGTCCTGGACCCAACTGGACCTGTCTCAGTAGAAGAGGGGCCTGACCCAAGCTTATACCAGGCAGGATGCCCCAGGCTACCATGAGTGTTGTTGAAGCCGATGCAGGGCTGGCCCGGGTCAGCCACACAGGCCCCGTGCTTAGAAGGGCAGGCTTCATCTAATGCTCTGTGATCACTGTCTTTGAATTCTTTACAATTCTGTTTTCATTTTTCAATCTGGAACCCCCTGATCATGTGCCAGGCCTGTATAGATGAGGAAAGCAGCTGCTCTGTGCCAAATACAAACATGGTGGTATCCTGGGGCCCTCTCCTCAGGGGAGGTGGCTCAGTTCCTTACTCTGACGCCCCTGTCCTGGCCAAAGGATGGAGCTGGGGCAGGCATGGGGTGCACTCACAAAGCCCAGTCCACAGCGATGATAAGGTTGATGTCGTCAGTGGGCAGTCCCACCGAGGTGAGCACAATGACCATGGTGACAAGCCCGGCCTGGGGGATGCCTGCTGCCCCAATGCTGGCCGCAGTGGCTGTGATGCTGCATGGGGTGGAGTGGAAAGGGGAGGAATGGGGAGTCAGGAGGTAGTCGGGTACATGTTGGGACCATGCTGCAAGAAGGAGGCCATAAAACTAGGCTGAGAGGCTGGCAGATATGCCACATCAGGAAGTTCCTGGGAGAGCAAGACCCTGCATGTGGTCCTGGGGTCTCATGGGCCCCCATCACTTGCTTCTCGAGGCCTAAAGAAGTTCTGGAAACTGGTGTCTAAAACTGCTCCTCTGTTGGCTTCAGAGCTACGCAGAGATTCTGATCACCGACCAGTGCAGCTCAGCCCAGCCTTGCTTCCAGTGCTAGACTTAGAGCCAGGCTGGCCTTCGAAGCTTCCCTCAGCCTGGGTTCCACCTCAGCATTCCGCCCTCAGCCCCACTGCTGACCTGAGCATGGCTTGGTGTGGGTCCCTCACCCTCGTGGCCCCACGGACCCCTCCAGAAAGCGGGGCTCAGGGCACACCTGATGGTGATGATTTGGCCGAAGTCCAGCTCGTAGTTGTTGACCTGGGCAATGAAGATGGCGGCCACCGCTTCATAGAGTGCAGTGCCGTCCATGTTGATGGTGGCACCCACAGGCAGCACAAAGCGGGCAATGCGCCGGTCGATGTGGTTGTTTTCAAGCAGGCACTTGAAGGTGATGGGCAGTGTGGCTGAGCTATGGGCAGAGGGGCTGGTGTCTGCCCACCACCCTCCTCCAGGATGACCAGGGCCTCTGACAGAAAGCTGCCTGCCTAATACCCCTCTGCTAGGCCACCAGACTTAGAGTGCAGCCTCCACCCAGGGCCTGGCAAAGACCTAATCTGGGTGCCCTGGTTCCCTCATCCACACAAAACCCAGGTCACAGAGCTGATAGAGGGTCAAGCCACACCATGCTCAGACAGTGCCTGGCACTGAGTTCTGTGTGGACTTCCTCTGAGGCAGGGAGTATCTGGGCATTGGCCAGGGAAGTGGCCTGTGGGCATCTCACAGACTGCACACCTGAGGCTCTGGGAAGAGAGCACAGTGAGGGCTGGAGGGAAGAGCAAGGCCTTGGGGCCAGAACTGTGGACTCTGGTCTGGGCAGCTTCTGACTTTCTCCAAGTCTCATGGGGTTCTGTGGGGCTTAGACTCACTAAAGAAGATGGCCAGTCCCTGGGGTGCTCCGTACTCAGCTGAGATTTGGGAGCCCCAAGGCTGGGCCTAGGTTCTTTCAGCCTCCACAGCCTGCACTGCATTCCTAGGGGTAAAGGCTCAAATTATCCAGCCTGCGTCCGAGGACCCTGAGACCCGGGGAGGCTAAGTGACTCTTCATGGTCAGTGAGTGGGGCTCTCTGCCTAGCAACACAGCCAAGGTTGACATTCTCCAGGCTGCAGGTCCCAGGGGCAGAGCCCTACAGAGCTCTACATGGTACCACGCCAGGCTCAGCAGAAGCCCCACGGGGCAGTGGGAGGCAACAGCACAGACTCTGCCACCCCCTCTGCCCCTGCTGTGGGAAGCTGGCCGCTGTGCAGATGGCATGAGCTCTTGGGATGGCAGGTGGAGGGAAGTACTGAATCCCCAAGCTAGGTCTTGTTCCTAGAGCACCGTTCTGCCCGCTCTGCCCCATCCCTGTCGTCACCCTGGCCTACCTGGAGGAGGTGGCCAGCGCAATGAGTAGGGCCTGGAGGACACCGCGGATGAAGACAATGGGGTTCTTCCTGGTGATGAAGAAGTAGAGCAGGGGCAGGATGAAGAGGCCATGGACCACAAGTCCACACACCACGGTGATGGCGTAGAAGCCCAGCTTCTTTCCAACTGCCTTGGGGTCGTCCATCTCCAGGATCTTGCCGGCGATGAGGAACACGATGCCGAAGGGAAAGTACCTGGGGTGACGGGACAGCCTCGCCTCGGTGCTAGGCAGAGCCAGGTTTGCAGCCTCGGTGCCACAATCTGGGCCTCGGGGCTCATGCGAGGCTGGGACAAGGCTGTGTAAGCAAGGTATCCTGCAGGTAGCATTGTAGGTGCCCTTGCCTCAAGCACCCTGCCTGGACAACCTCTGGCCTGCCTGCCTACTCTGTCCCTTCCCTCGGGCAACCCCATTCCAGCCATGCCACACCTCTTGAGTGGCCCTGGAAGCCCTAGAGGATTCCTAAGATATAAACCAGGAGTTTAGTGGCAGCTGATTTTCCCTTCCACTGTGTTCCTTCTTCAAAATTTGAACTGGAGTCCATAGTATGGGGAAACTGAGGCCAAGAGGCAGTCAAACCAGGCCGAGCTGTCCTTCACAACAGGCTGCGAGGGGCAGAACCAGGTTGGGGGAACCAGGCCTGGTCAGGGCTGGGAATCCAAGCAAACACAGGTAGCTCTGGAGGCCCCAGCCCCTGGCTGAGTCTCTCTGGACACAGAGGATGGGACAGCTCTCAGTGTCTCTCCAAGGACCCGCAACCAGAGGGGTGGATGGGGCGAAAGGGGACCCATCCCGAGAGGCTTACCACACGGCCACTGCCACGATCTTCATGACGGACTCATTGAGACACTGGCAGAAGCTGACCAGGGGGGCCCCACTGTCACCCATGCGGCCCAGCATGATGCCTGTGGGGACAGACAGCACGTTCCAGGGGCCCCTCTCCAGACGCAGGCACAGGTACATTGAGGGCAAAGCAGACAGACCTGCACCCAGGTGCAAGCCATAGCCCTTACTGACCACCCAGAACCTGCAATGGGCCGCACTCCCCACACTCTGCTCTCCTCAGACCAGGATGGGCAGGGCTGTCACCTCTGTCGAACTCATTCTCCACACGACAGATGGCGTCCCCTCAAGGAGAAATGCCCCTGCTGACCACCCCACCACATTCCCACGCACTGGCCCGTAACCAAGCTCCCCGCAGCTCTGGTCCCTCCTACCTGAGCCCACCATCCTCCTGGTGCTCCTGCCTGCCCCTCCTTTCCTCACTGGCCTTCCTCAGGTGTTCAAGACCCATTGAGCTCTTCACTGCCCAGGGCCTTTGCCCATGCACTTCCCAAGGCCCTAAGCTGGCTGCCCATTCTCCACGTGGCTTGGAACTCTCCCTCCCACCTAACCAACTCCGTTGTCCCCTACCCCACCCTTTGCTGCCTCCGTTCTATCATCCATGACCCCTGGCACCTGTTTTCTCCTGCCTGTCTGCTTTTTCTGATTCCTCTGACACCTTCGCTCTGCAGGGCAAGAGCTACAGCTCCTGAGATGGCACATGGTAAATGTGCTGCAAAGGCCACTGAGTGAAGTGTCTTGGAGCTGTCCTTGCAGCCTGTTGTCCCTTGGTTTTCTGGGTGCCCAGACACTCACACCGTAGTTGGGAAGTGCATGTGTGCAGCTGCCTCATGGGCCAGCTCCAAGCGAGTGTGTGCTGCTGGGCCCTTCTCAAATGGGCAGCTGTGTGGCTCTTTTCTTCTGGTGAGGCCAAGATGGGCCTCAGCACACTCGGGGATGACTGTTTTAGCCAGTAGGGTTAGGCAGGTGGGAGCTGGAACCCTGGCATACAGGACTCATGGAGCAGCTGGCCCTGGAGATGGGGCAATGAGGAGCCTGTCAGGACAGGCAGGAGAGGCTGGGGCTGAAGGTGACACTGGGCCTCGCCCTGCCCATCTAACCATCACAGCCTGGCTGATGTGGATTCAGGCTCCCCCTGCTTGAGCTATTCCTGCCCTTTTCAGCCTCCATGCTGACTGGGAGTCAGTGTCTCCAGGACTCGGGGTGTGGCAGTGTCTCCCAGCCCCTCAGTTCAGGCCAACAGGACCCAAGACCAGCCACAGCTCAGCATCAGGGAGGAGCCTGGAAAAGAGGCTGGGCTGAGGGACCAAAGAAAGCTCTGTTCAGGGCAGCCATGGAGACTGATATTGGCACCGGCAGACACGGCCCAGCGGAAGTGAGCACACGGGCCCAAGCACACATCGGTGTGGACACATACCAGCATGGTACACATACTGACACACGGTCAGTTTCATCTGCTCTCTAAACCCTAAATGACTGGAGTCTCTGCGAGGACATGCCCTTTTTCTATCTTCTATCCCTCAGAAAGGCTGTGGGTGTCGAGAGGAAGGTTGTCCTAGCCTGGGGACTTGCTGTCAAGGGTTCAGTCCCCTCTGCAGGCCTGGCACTTTGGCAAGATGACCAGATCTGTTACTCAAGGCTATCCATCCATTCATGCATCTGTGCACCCATCTGTCCAGCAGCTTCCATGGAGCACCACCCTCTCCAGCCAACTGCAGTGGGTGGGGAATGTCTCCACCCACCAGAAGCCAACGCAGCTGCTGTGCACACAACCTGCAGCCAGTGGCACAGGGGCATAATGCAGTGGGGCCCAGGGTTTAGTCAGGCAGAAGGTGCAGAGAATGTGGAGCGTGGGGCTCTGATCAGTCTGGGGATCAGGATGCTCTCCCGAGGACCAGTGCCTGTAGGGAGGCCCCTGGAGATGAGAAACGGGACAAGGGAGAAGGGGCAATTGCCTCCACGCTGAGGTAGTAGAGGGCCCTCCTGGAAGCTGGGAGGTCACTCAGATAACTGGAGGGTGGGTACCAGAAGGGAACAGAGTGAGGACACTGCAGGGGCAGGCAGAACGCACCCATGGTGGCAGAGAAGATGACAATGCCCAGCACGTTCATGCCATCACTGGTGCCAGGTTCCGACTTGTAGACGATCTCAGGCGGTGGGGTCAGGTCCAGCGCAAAGTTCTGCACACGAGAGCCATTCTCTTCCTGGACCCCGTAGATGAGGATCCGCCGAGGAGGGGCCTCCTCCAGGGCTGCCTTGGGGTTCTTGACAACTGGGGTGGTCTTGGTGCGGTACTGGCGGGCGACAACCCACAACTCAGTATTAGTATCAGCAACAGCAATAACACCTGTGGCACTCCTGTTTAGAGATAGGCAAGGCAGGGATCAGTATTTTACCCAAAAGTGATCCTCTCAACCTCAGCCACCTCCTTTGTGTCCCCAGCCCAGCCCAGGCCCAGCCCAGGGAAAGGGCTCAGGAAACACTCGCTGGCTTGCATTAACAAAATTGCTGCCATTAGAAGGAGAAAGGCGACTGCAAACACTGAGGAGCGCAGACAGACAGGCACGAGGTGTCTGACACTGCCTGTGAAAAGCAGGAGCTAGAGTCCAACCTCGAGGACCACACAGCAGGAAAGGAGGTGTAGAGTCAGCCTGGCCACAGGCCGCTCCACCGTCACCGACTTCTGGACTTCCAGGAATGTTTAACAACTGCAGGGAACACTTCAAATACGGTGGAAGTGAAAGGAGCAGGATACAGATGAAGTACGTATCCTTCATCTGTAAGGATCCTAAGATCCTTACAGTAAAGATCTTACTAGGATCCTAGTAAGGATCCTAAGATCCTAAAGTACGATCTTTATTTTCAAAATATGTTTATGAAGAAAAAAGACATTAAATGCATAATATCTACTACCACTGTTTCGAGGTCCTGGAATTAGAGATGATTGTTATTTTTCAATTTATGTATTTCAATATTTTCCCCTATGATTATTTTTTTAAAAAGGAGACAAGACAGTCCCTGCAGGCAGGCTGGCCTGGGTTTATTGACTGGCTGGTCAGTTACTAGTAGTGTAACCCTTGAGCACATCATCAGTCTTCTGGGCCTGTCTCCTCACCGAGGAAATGGGGATAATCCTACCTTGGCACATCATTACCAGGCAGTGAGTGTGTGAGCACCAGCATGGCACCCACAGCCAGGCAGGCCCTCAATAAAGACTTCCCTCCGCCCCCATATCATTTTTTCATGAAAGCCTGGAATCCAGGGAAGATCTGTGGCCTTAGGAGGCTCTGATCTAGGTCCCTTCCCTCTCGTGTCCTGCCTCTAGGAGACAAGTCATTTCCTTCCTGGTCCAGGTTGGCCCTGCCTCCCAGGGCTCCCGCCTGTGCCCTCCTCATCCAGCGCCCAGAGACCTGCTTACCTGTTTGAATGTGGCTTCCACCAGATTGGCTGGGAACATGTTCCTAGAAAGGAAGTCAGCACTTGAAGAATTCCAGAGTGAGGCCAGGGCCCCTGGGGTCATCTGAACACCTCTCTTGGAGTTGAGACTTTTATGAGCCGGCTCCTCCCTCAGCATGCTCACCCACTCCATCCTGCTGGTCCCACCCAGAACAGAATCTCATATCCTAAGACATACATCAAAATTGCATTACCAATCAATGAGGAACTGAAGGATTTATCATGTGACTGACCAACTGTTTGGGAAGATAAATACTAGCTCTTATTTAATACCTCAGACCAAAATAAATTCCAGATGATTTTAAGAAATAACTTTTTAAAAAATTAATCCATGAAAGCTAGAAGAAATATAGGCTAACTTTTTTTTATCATTTCTCAGAATATAGAAGGACTTTCTAAGGATAAAATAGGCAAAAAAAATTAATTGATTTTAATACAATGAATCCAATACAATGAAATATGAAATTTGTAAGTGCAATATATCAACCTCTATTAGATCTTGGGACAGAGAGAAGGGACATAAGTGGGAAAATCTGGTGAAATCCAAATGAAGTCTATAAATTAGCAGGTTTGTACCAAGTTAATCTGTTAGCTTTGACAAAAGTACTATAGTTATGTAAGACACAACATCTGGAGAAAGCCAGGTAAGGACATATGGAATCTCTTTGCAATTTTCTGTAAACTTAAAATTATGTGAAAATAAAAAAATAAAAAAAGGAGGAGGAGTTCTCTAGGGTGGATTATAATACAAACGAAGTTATAAGCAAATGACAAACTAGAAGACTAAATGGCCAGGTGGTACTGACCTATGTCTATAACGGGCTCTTACACATCTTGTCCTGGTTTCCATGGCTATCGTATGCCTCCTCTCACCAGAGTATCTGCTGCCTGGAGGGCAGGGACTTCTGTTTTGTGTCCTACTGTGTCCCCAGTGCCTGGAAGAGGGCCTGGCATGCAGCAGGCACACAGAAAATGCCAACGAACCATACAGGACCATAGGAACAGTACAGCTCCAGTAGGAAAATGGGCAGAAGATGCCTTCAGACAATCCACTGCCCAAAGGGAAGCAAAGGGCCCAAAGGGCATTTAAAATGATGTGTCAATCCATTCCACCTGTGAGACAGCAGAGGCGCTGGGGCAGTCTGGGGAGATGGGTGCCTCTTGTTATCATCCAAGTAGCTGCCCCTACCATCAGGCATAATCAAACCAAAAACACCAGCACAGAATGAAACCAATTAAAACTAAACAAGGAAAGCGATACAAGACTTCAAGTTTAAAAAATAGCCTGACAGAAGTGAAGAATTATTGCATGGGAAATGCCACAGTAATAATTGGCGTCCCTGTATGCTAAAATCAGTGAGCAGAAGTTTCTAGTTGCAACTTTAGAGCAATTTCATGCGGCGTCTTAAAAAGCATTTCTATGCTTGTCCTTATAATCCCCTCCTAGGAACTGATCTGAAATCAGAGACGCGAACAAGATTCTTGTTCTCTGCTCGCGCTTGCTGGAACGAGCCCGCACCCTGGCTGGCTGGCTTCCCCCTCGTGCTTGTCCTTGGCCAGCCTCACTTCTTCCGAGACGCAGCTCCCACGGGCCGGGGCGGTGCACGTGGACATGAGTGTGCATTATTTCTTATGCCGACTTCCCAGCACCTGTGGCTGGAAGCAGAAACTAGTTTTTTTGGATTCTGCAGCTAAGAGTATGCAGCCAGCAGGAGGAAGCAAACTAAGAGGCGCCCCTGCGGCACCAGGCTGGGCAGGCCTAGGTTCCTTTGCCGGGAATGGCAGTTACAAAGTGGAGCAGCAGAAGCCAGAGCCTCAGATACCAAGGAGACCTGAAGCCCGGAGCCGGCATTAGTGCCAGGGGCCTGCAGGCCCACCTGCCCGGGCATCGCCTACACCTGCAGGATGCCCAGGCAGCACTGACTGACCCTTAAATACTTAGCAAATATCTTCAGATACCAAGGAGACCTGAAGCCCGGAGCCGGCATTAGTGCCAGGGGCCTGCAGGCCCACCTGCCCGGGGCATCGCCTACACCTGCAGGATGCCCAGGCAGCACTGACTGACCCTTAAATACTTAGCAAATATCTAGAAAATATCCCAGGCATGGCCCTAGGAGGTTCAAATAATGTACAAAGCTGTTTTCTAATGAAGCGTAAAGAGACATCTGCTTACAATTATTTGAAAGATCGTAAGACACCAAGTAGAACTTACACCTTTCCCACTCCTTTAACATTAGGATAACTTAAAGTGTGAGCTGTGGCAGGGACTGGTTGCCTACCTGAACCCCATCCTCTCCTCCCTTACTATGAGAAGCTCTGTTATGCTGTGGGGACCAACAGGACCCTCCCACCAAAGCCTGACTTCATTCTCTGTGGCCCCGAGATGCACATACAGGTCATCTAGCTCACCACTGGACTGCTGCCATTCCAGCCAGCACCTCTGGTACTTTCCTCCAGCATTTTTCTTTCTGTCTGGAGACGCAGATGTCAGAACTAAAGCCCAAACAACCTTCTTGGTGCCAACCATGTCAGAGCACAAGGGGGCCAGAGCGTGAGCTCCTGATGACCAGGACCTGCCCACTCAGGGTCCAATTATGTATAAGAAAACACATTTTTGCCTCTGCTAAGCCTCTGCTGTTCTATGTTTCCCTTAATTAGCAGTCCAAAGTGACTCCTGCCTGAGATATGTGCTCACACTCACTATCAGTGAACTTATTCTGTAGACTGACTTGAGAATGACACTCTTCTTACTAACTGGGAAAATGCACAACTTTTTTTTTTTGGCTTTTGAACACCTGTGGGAAACCTTCCTATTTGTCTCATGGCCCTGTGCTCCTGGCAGCAGCTATATCAAATACAGATAGAACTGTACCTGGAGGCATCACAGCCATGCCTAGGGAATACCCACACCTCTGTCAGGGCCTGCCTGGACACTTCTGGGAGCAGGCCAGGGCCACCTCTAGGTTTCCCTTCTGGTTTATTATTTATTTATAAGTTCTCTCTTCTGTGGTCCCAAACTCACCCTCAATCACATGTCACCAACCCGAGTCCCGAGGGGAGGATGGTTCCTTCTGCACTACAGCTCCTCAGAGCTCCATCCTGTCCCTGAGATGGTAATTGGTTGATTTTTTTGGCAGGGATACCTAGGATCAAACTCAGGACCTCATGCTTGCCAGGCAGGCATTCATGCCGCTGAGCTAAATCCCCAGCCCTGAGATGGTGATTGGGAGGACAGAGCCAGGACATTACTTAATCTTTGTGGTGTTTTAATAAGACTGGAAAAAATGAAGAAGAAGTAGAAGGAGGAGGAGGAAGAAGAGGAAGAGGAGGAAGAAGGGGCCAGCTCTGCCTGGCACCAGCTCTGTTGGGGTTTTTCCTGAGAGCTGCCCTGGGAGTGCCAGGAAGTTTTCTGAAGTCCCAGGTGGAGCGCCGGGGGCTTCCAGAGACACAGCCTGTTGTGTCTCTCTGGAATCATCCTAGAGGCTTAGACACACATCTTCCCACTCCTGAGGTGAGCTGGGGGACTTTCCCCCCTTATTCCTTTGGCTTTCTGGCTTGTCATTTGTCACATCTGCCCCTGTCTCCTCACTCCCATGTCCCCATTATCTGCATAGTCCTGCAGAGCAGCAGAGGAGTGGCTGTCCCATGTGCCCTTCTCGTCTGTCTGTCCTAGGAAGGTGGAGAGTCCTGATGCATGGACTTGGATTTGTTCATCCAGCCCCCAGAAGAGGGCCTTCACCAGAACAGGCACTTAATCGAGGTGGGCAGAGTGCGGTAGAGGGACCGAACTGCCTCCCAGAGAGCCCAGCCTCCAGCCACATCCTGTGCTCTGCTCTCTGCTTTCCGAGGGCAGCGTTTCTAACACCTAACCCTTCCCCGAATTCATAGACCACAAGGTTGGGCTCTGCCCTGTCACCCGGAATCTGTCTCCAAGTGTTCCGTTTGCGCCCTGCAGCCTCCTCCCTGGCTTTGTGCAGAACCACAGAGCTGGAAGGATCTTGAACATCACTGGACAACTGAGCCTCAGTGAGTGCTCCTGGCCTGGCTGGGCCACACAGTGACCAACGACTGGCAGAGCTGAGACAAGGCTACAGTTCTTCCAGGTTTTGGTCCCTGCCCCACGAAGCATGTGGTCCCTTCCCGCAGGCCCACTTTCTGCCCAAGAAATGGTGACAGTGGTTCCTAACCACCAGCATTGCAAAAGCCTCAAAGCAGAAGGATCAGTTTTCACCATGTGAGCAGCAGCTGAGAGCAGGAAGCGCTGTGGAACATCTGACTGTGACACGTGTGTCCACGCAGGGCCCCGGCATGGGGGAGGCAGGGCTTCCGGAGGACCTACTGCTCCTTCTACCCTGTGAAAAGGCTGTTTTAGATCACAGAATCCAAGAAATGGTGAATCATAGATACTGAATCCTAGAATTAACAGATCTTAGGAATGAGGCCTCTCGACGCTCCTTAGGCCTTGGCTTTGAGGACACCTGCCCGGCTGCTTCTCCTCCTGCCCCCTCTTACACTGTGAGTACCACACAGCCCTGGTGTGGCTATGGGCTGAGGCTCACCCTGACTGCTGTGCCCATTCCAGGTCCTCCCTGGGCTTTCAACCCCTGCTGCATGCATGGCCCTGTGTCCCACACCTGCTCTTTACCATGTGCTGTTCCAGGCTCCAGGGCAGGAGCAAAGATCAGACTTGGACAGGCCTGGGCCCCAGGGGCATATGACTACACATCCCAGTGGAGGTAGCAAGGAGAAACCATGGATACAACAGGGCCCGGTGGAAAGGAGAGCTATTTGGGAAAGCAAGGCAAAAAAAGGAGGTAATAAAAAGTGACAGAGTGAAGATGACCCTAGCAGAGACATAAATGAAGCTAGGAGAGGAGCCTGTTCCCCCCAGGAAGGGCCACCAGAGAGGCAGCAATGGCACCAAGGCAGGACCATGCCCGGTAGACCTGGGCAGAACAACAAGGCCAGCAGGACAGGAGGGAGACAGCTAAGGGGGAGGGCTCGGAGCTGAGGGCCTGAGGGTGCAGCAGTGGGGGGGAGGGGGGCTCGGAGCTGAGGGCCTGAGGGTGCAGCAGTGGGGGGGGGGCTCGAGGGGCCTGTGAGCCAGGGCACTGCACACCGGGCAGGTCCTGGTGGCAGCTATGCCAAGGACACTGCAGGATGTACAGGGCAGCCCAAGGGGACCCCAAGAGGCAGGTGGCAGCGGGTGTGGCAATAAGGGAGAAGGGCCACAACCTGGAACACCATTTGGAGAACTGGATGTGGGTTATGAGAGCCTCTGCATAGGTGGGCAGGATTCTGAAAAGGCAAATTTGCGGGGAAAAGCTGTTTGGCTTGGCCATGTTAACTCTGAGCTGCCTTCTGGTAAGCTGTGTGTGAGCTCAAGGCTCAGGTGAGAGGGCTCTGGGAGAACACCAGACCTGGGTGGGCCAGTGTTCGTAGGCATCCCTGGGGACCAAGGGTTGCCAGCACACAGACATAGCGGACCCTGTGTGGACCTCACGGGCTCTAGACCCCGAAGTGAGAACCGCGCAGTAGGCACAAGGTCGCACGCATCTTTGTGGTTCTTAGAACAGAACAGAAGCTGGAGATATTCCTGGGGAGGGTCGGCTGGCTGCACCGATGGCTGACATTACTGAACTCTCTTCACCTTGGAACACTGCGGTCACCTCCCAACTTGCTCTGGTCAAGATGTTAGTGGAACTTGCTTGAAAAGTTCTTGCATGTTTTCACTTCCTCTCTCGCTCTCTACCTTCAGGCAAGTGTTCTCCTGGAATCCTGTCACCACGGTAAATAAAACCAGGAGGATCCCCAGCTCCCAGCCTGGGCTTACTCTGAGTGGATGGGGAGTGGATCCCTAGCAAGGAGTCAGCAGCCTGAGGCCTGCTGCAGTGTGAAGACTCCAGACACCCCTGCTGGACCATTCTCACCAAAGCCATTCTAGCCCAGCTGTTCCTCAGCAAATCCACCAGTCTCCTACAGACCTTGAATGTGCACAGGCACCTCAGCAGATCTTCCAGCTAACTGTGGACTCCTGAGAGTCATTTAAGCCCTGAAGTGTTGGGTGGTTTGTTACACAGCAGTAACAGTAACTGACTGACACAGAGGGAAGAGTTTCTTTAGAGATAGACAGAAGATATGTGGTTGGCATCTATACTCATGGGGGAGGGAAAGGAATGCTTCTCCATAAGATGAAGCCAGGAGAATTACTTAGCTGTCTTAGCTTGTGTCCCCTACTGGATTGCAAGTAGGGGTTAGTGCAAGACTCATATCCAAAGGCCCTGGGAAAGGTCAACACTTCAGCAAGGCTGGGTCAGGCAGAAACCTGCAGCACTTGCCCAGGGAGGAGGACTTGGGTCCCTGGAACATGGGACTCAGCAGAGCTGATGTGGCTGAGACAATGGCATTGCAGAGCACTGTCCTGGGATTTAGGCAACCTGGACAGAGCCTGGCCACACTGCCCATTGGCTGGATAAGTCTGGAAACTTCACATCTTCTCCATGAGTCTCATTCCCCCATCTGTGAGAAGGGAGCCAATAGAGAAGTGGGGGGAACCTGTAATAACTGGCCTTTCCAGCTCACAGGCTGGGTGCCTAGAGCCACGCACTGGCCTGTTCGGGCAGTGGCACAGACCCTACCCTGCCAGGGGGTCCTGGCAGCCTGATGGGGCAGAGGAAGCCCACAGGGAGCAACAGTGCTGGGGTCATTGACTCCAGGGTGCTGGGGGTCATGGTCTCTGCACAGCCTCCACGCCCGTGCCTTATACCAGATCAATTGAGGGGAGCCTCAGCTCATCCCGCCCAGTCCTCTGGGGGTCATGCAGGGCACCTAGCTCAGCGTGTACTTCCCCCGGGGTATGGGTGGCAGGTTACCGGATGAGGTCCAGAAGGGCGTCGGCTGAGCTCATGACCGGCTTCCCACTCTGCTCTGTCATCTCCTTCTGGGCTGCACCCCCCGGGTGGATGATGGAGACCATGATGATGCCCACGACGACAGCCAGGAAAGTGGTCCACAAGTAGTAAGCCACAGTGAGGATGCCCAGGCGGCTGGAGGTCTTGGCATCCAGGGAGGCAAGACCGGACATCAGGCTGGGAGATTGAGATGGGTCAGAGGCTGTGGGACGCATGAGACCCAGGCTGGGTGCACAGACTGGTCCTCTCCAGGCCCTCCCAGCTGTGCCCAGCATCCACTCATTCCCCGAGGTCCCTCTCAGTTCTGGGCTCCTTCTGGCCTCTTGGCTCCCAGTGCCAGGGTCACCATCATAGTTCTAGCTCTGCTCTACCCTCCCAGGCACCCCTGTCTGGGAAGCAGCTTTCCTCATGCACCAGTCCAGGTGCAGCCCGCCTGTCAGCGGAGTCTTTGGACTATCTGCCTCTTTCCCAGAGTCAAGAGCCCATTCTGGAGTTCCCCGAACCTCTTCCAACACCACACCAGCCTGATTATCACTGCCTGCCCTCTGTCACTGGATTGAGAGCAGGTGACAGGAGGGGCAGGTCTGGCCTCTGGAGGATCCCCGGCTCCCAGCCTGGGCTTACTCTGAGTGGATCCCTAGCAAGGAGTCAGCGGCCTGAGGCTTGCTGTATCCCAGCCGGGTTCAGCCAACTGTCCACAACCCTGTCCTGCGGTCCCCATCTCCAAAACAGGGCCCTGAGAGGAGCTGCTCCCAGATCAGAGCCACCTGGCACCATCTTGGGTAAGTGCTGGGGTCCAGACTTGGCCCCCAGCTCCTCCTCACCTCTGACCACCCGGCCTAGGCTCTCTGTTACCCAGTGCAGGTCACCCCAGTGCTGCTGTGCCCAAGCCTTGCAGGGTACTCAGAGGGAGTGGGGGAGGGGCCAGGCAAGAGATTAAGGAAATGCCATGCTTTGTTTTGCTGCCAAAGGATTTTTTCCCAAAGCCCTTTCATTCTTTCTGATAAAGAAAGTGTTTGTCTGGTTTTAATCATGTAAACAAGAGCAGATAATCCTTCTCCATCAGCTGTCTTCTTAGCATCCCACCTCACCCAGTAGTGCCCAGTGCCAGCCTGCAGTCCTGGTGGGCACAGCTACTCCAGTCCCCTCCCAACGCAGCCCTGTCACACCCTGCCGCCCTCAAGGGCCAGCCTGCCCCTAAGACTCAGGCCGGCCCCTCCCTTTTCTGGCTCCCTCAGTCTCTGCCTGTTTCTGGGAAGCACCCCTTGAGTTCCTGTTTCTGGGAAGCACTTTCTGGCCAGACTGAGGTCTAGCTCCACGCTGGGTTCATGGAGCTGGCCTGGGCCTGGCCCAGAGCGTGGCTACATAGCAGGTTGCTGAGTGAGTGAGCAAACGAGTCGGTGTTTGCATCCACATCTTCCTCTGCCAAGATGCCATCTGTTAGTGATGGGCTTAGGATGGGTCTAGATGTAAATCCAGAAGGGCTCATAATGAGATTGTGCAGCCGGAGCCGGAGGAAACGGGGGCTGCTACAGCAGGGTGGGGGTGCCGGCCAGTACATCAGTCCCAAACCGAGATGCCCTCCTGTCACAGCAGAGCCCCACTATCAAGCCAAATCCAACCACCTCAGGGCACCAGAGCCTGGAGAAAAGGATCTGCCTGAGGTCACCTTGGGACACTGATGCCCCAGTGGGCCAGAATTCAGGGCCATACTCCAGGCCTGTCCTCTTGCATTTATGCCCATTCCATGTTGGGCCCCACACCCTGAAAGAAGTCAGAGCCTGTCCCTGACCTCAGGGAGCTCTTCCTAGACCAGGAGTGGATAGGAAGGGAGACAAATGAGGACAGTGGGGTGCAGGTGGCCACTGGGCAAGCTGAATCCATCTTGCACCCAGGAAGGGCTGTCTCTGCAAGCAGCCAGAGTTTTCGCCGGCTAGGAGAGTCAGGAAAGGCTTCCTGGAGGAGCAGCTGAAAGGCATGGAGGACTTGGAGATGAGGCCATGGTATAGCAGAAGGTGAGAAGGATGTTGGGAGGCTGGAAAGTGTGGTCAGAGCTCAGGTCAGGCTTGAAGTATGGGGACAGGACAGAAAAGAGAGTTTGAGCCCAGGAGTGGAGTGACCTTGATTGCCAGGCCAGGGGAATCAGGGGGAAACCCCAGGGTACACCCAGTGGGCAGAATGAGGGCCTGGCGCTGCTTTGCATAACTCAACTAGCAGAAACTGCTAGATGTCTGCGGAGGAAGAGATAAAGATCCTGTGGTTTTGAGGATATCAAAGTAAGCAAAGTAGTCTGCATAAGAGCAAAAACCCAGAGTTCCAAAGACTCTTACAGGAATAGCATCACCGGGGAGATGCTCTTTGTGGATGCAATACGGAAAAGCAAAGACCAGCTCTGCTGCAGCCCTTCGAGAAAGCCCCAGAGCCTCCTGGGAGGCAGTCACCTCTGCAGCCTGCCTTCTAGACATTCAGAGATGCGCCTGGGGGTCGCATGGATGGGGCACAGTTCAAAATCAGATTCCAGGAGAGGGAGAAGAACCTCTGGGCAAGATGAGGCCTAGTACAGGGGATGTGCTGGCTTAGCTCACCCACACAGAGGAGGGGAGGGTCTTCCAGAGAGGACCAGAAACCCAGCCCAGGGGCTCACAGCAGAGGGCTGATGGGAGGAGTCCCATCCCTCATGCTCACCTGCTTTTGCTCTCAGCCCTCCCTCCTGCAGGGTGACAGCAGGCCACAGCAGCAACCAAGAACAGGGAGAAGGATGGGGAGGCCAGAGGCCTCAGGAGACAGTGCTGCTCCTGGAACCCACAGTAATAGGAAAGGAGGGTGAAGCTGCTGCCTTAGGCCTTGGGGGATGGTGGCAGGAGTGTGGGGACTGCTCCAGACTTTGGCTGTTAAAGTGACTTTTCTGAGAACCTGTGAGTTGGGGGGCAGAGGGGGAGGTGGTGGCTGGGGGAACGTTAGACCACGTGAACATCACTTGTATGCCATGTAAGCCAAACTCCAGGGAGAAACATTACCAGTAGTTTTCTTAGCGTGGTGGGTTTATGGGTCTTTTGTGTTTTGTTGCTCCTCTCTCTGCAAGTTCTCTATAATTTCTAGAATGGGCGTAGGAGCACCTATTCTGTGATTTGCCTGGAGTTTACTGTTCTCAAATACCCAAGCATCTGCCTCTTTCAGTCCTTAGCCTAATAGAGTGCTAACCACAACACCAGCCATATTCGACATTTACCTTTTTTCCTTTTTATTTCGTTCTCATTTTTTGTGATAGTGGAGCCTGAACATAGGGCCTCTGCAAAAATCATTTTTTGTGAAATTAATTTTAATAGTACCTTCACCCACTATATCCAAAACTACCATTTCAAAGTATCAATGTAAAAATGTTTTATACTGCTCAGGTTTTAAATATTAAGTAATTATTAATATTAACTTAATATTAAGTAATATTAAGTTTCAAATATTAAGTAAACTTCAGTCCCGCAGCTATACTAGCCGAAATTCTAGGGCTCAGCGGTCACTGCTGAGAAGTCACTGCTGTGGTCTTGGATTCCCTGTGTCTGAGCTACAGCAAAGGATTTGGAGTTCAGAGAGGTGGAGATGATGCTGTAAGCTCTATAGTCAGCACAGGTACAGGGTTTCTGATTCTGAACTCTGTGGGTTTCCCTTTCTTTTCAGTGCCAGGTATAGACCTATAGCTGGACTCCTGGGGAAAAGACGGGTCTTCTTTTTGGGGGCTGACCACGACTACATTTTGATCCAGTCTGTGTAATGTTTCTTCAAGTCAGCTCTTAGAATTCATAACCTGGGGCTGGGGGTTTAGCTCAGGGGCATAAGCGCCTGCCTCGAAAGCAGGCAGTCGTGAGTTTGATCCCTGGTACCGATAAAAAAGAAAAAGACAAAAAGAAAAATAAATTCATAACCTGCCACAGATACAAGCCTCAATTTGGGTGGTGAGCTCCCTGTTTCAGGAAGTATCCAAGTGGAGCTTGGATAGCCACCTGTTGGGATGGAGACTGAGGCTCTCAAGACAGAGTGGGTCTCACCTCAGATTTCCTTCTGGCTCTGTGATTGATGGTGGGGAACCACAGACAACCTTGCCTCTTCCACTCCAAGCATGACTGAGGGCTCCTTGGAGCCCAAAGGCCCTTAGGGGCTGCAGGAAAGAGCTGCAGGAGCCCAGAGCCTGGGAACTCCTCCCAAGCCATCTGGCCACCACACAGCATCCAGGGATTGGGGATCAGGAGATTGCAGTGATTATAGACATTAACTGCAGAGGCAGTGGGGAGCTGGCCAGGCTCCCAGCACCCAGCCTGCTCCAATCTGGTAATCGGTCCACTTCAGGCAGGGGAGGGGTGGAAGAGAGGCAGCGGTGCCCCGCTCCTGGTAGGGGGAGAAAAAAACTCCCCTACCACCTCAGAGCCACCGGCCTGCCCTCCTTGCCTGCTCCAGCCACCCAGTCCCCTCTCACTCCCAGGTGCTGCTTCTGCCTGGAACTCTCTACCTACTGTGCGCCCCATCTCCCTAGAACAGCGCACTTCAGGGCCTTCCTTGTCCGAGCTGACACACACCCCTTCCTCTGGGAGGCCTTCCCTACCTGCCACCATCTCTGCCACCACCTGCCCCTCCCACAGGCACTGCACGCACCCTAGTTTGCTACAGGGCCCCGTGGCAGCGTGCTGGCCTGAATCCCCAGGGCCTGCCTGGAGTGGCGGGGGCGGTGTGGAGAGAAGCAGACTGATGTCGGGACCCGGTCCCCTGGTCCTCTTGTTTTGCCTCCCGGTTCCTGAGCCCAGAGCGAGGCTGAGAAGCTCCTGTCTGGATGCCTCACTAGCTGGAAGCCTGAAGGCAAGTCACCAAGCCTTGACGGTGTCTTAGTTTCCAGTGAGAATGAGTGAGATGAGGGTCTGTTATTAAGGCAGGCAGACCTGGTGTAGAATCCTGCACATGCAGTATGTACGCAACGTGTGTCTGTTGCTAGTATTTCCTTTTTGTGGTCAGTGTTTCGTGGCCACTGGTCACTGCTGGGTGCTCCCCTAGGGCAGGGATGAATCTAGCCTTGTTCTAGGCATTTAGAATCCAGGGTTTGGTTTACGGATGGGGTGCAGATTGCAGATGTATGTGATGTTAAACCAAGGATGTCACCAACTGTTAAAAGAATGGTTGGTGAGCTCTGGAGACTGTGGGTATCCTCTGTAGGTTCCCTGAGAGAAAGTCGCCTGCGCAGGGCTGGCCCACTTGCCAGGTTTAGGGGAAGCCCTGGCACTGTGAGTCAGTGTGACTTCAAGGCAGTTGGCATCAGAACTTCTCGGAACAGATGGGGAATTGGTGCTGTGACAGTGGGTAGGGTGACATCTGTAGAGGGATGCTTCAGGGCTCTGTGTTTAGCCCTCTTCTTTCTGGTCATTTTTATCAATGGCTGGGCTAAGGGCCCTCACAGCACACGGATTAGATTTGAAGCACCCAGGAAGCTGTGGGGAGCAGCACTATGTCAGATGAGGGACCCCAGCAGGCTGGACCGCAAGCCAGCTCTGACACAATCAAACAGCATAGACAGAGCAGACTGGATGTGGCTTCAGCAGCACAGGGAGCACAAATCTTGGGGTGGGAGGGGAAGGCTGAGCCGCAGCAGCAGCACACTTGAAGGGAACTTTGAGGCTTTGTTTGGGGACAGTCTGGTGAGTCATCTGAGACCCACCAAAGGGCCAGTGGGCTCTCAGCTTGGGGTCTCATCAAGGATGCGGTGTCCTTCCCTGAGGCCGAGACTCACTGGGAAAGGGACAGGGGAGGAGCCTACAAACCACAAAGGGTCCCTAGGGTGGGGAGGAAGCAGCAGAGCCACAGACCTCGGGGAGGAGGAGGAGCAGCAGGTGCAAGGTGCTTGGACCCTAAGGCATAGCAGACCGGGAGCATTGGGAATGACCAGGAAGTTTTGGGGGACCTTGACCCAACCGCGGGGGTCGATTTCCAGGAGTCATCCTGCCTGGGAAAAAAAGCACTTTGGGAAGCAGGGAACTACCAGCTCCTGGGGGTGGGCGAGCAACTTGTAGGTCATGTAGTGAGT